AGCTCCAAATGTAATTATATGAAAGCAAGAGGACTCGGCATCTTACTTGATAATATCAGACCGTGTCTCTGATCATGATGAACTCTTTAGGATACAAAAAAATCACTCTTTTTTTAATATACAACTCAGGGCAGGAAACACTAAAACACAACCCCTAAATCCAACTGAATCAGATGTAAAACAAATTTGAATATAATTTTCTAAATTCAGATTAAAAAAAAATCTATTTGTTTGGAGCAGATGAAATTGCAGTCCCCAGGCGAAATTTCTAATCGTTAAATTGGATTCGACAAAATCAAGAAAAATTTTCTAAAGCCCAATTATATTAAATCACAAATTTGAAGCAGATTTTGACATGCAATAGGTCAATAATGTAGGAATCATTTCAGACTAACCTTGATGGCGGGCGTCGGAGGAATCGTCCAAGTACCGTTGGAAAGCTTGAATCCGAAAAAAACTCTTAGGGTATAGGGAGATGCTGTTGATGTGAAATTCAACAAGCAAAGGTTGAAGGAGAGGAATTTCAATTTGAAAGATCTGGAGCAAAGTGGCTGCTTGGTGAGGAGAAGCCGCACAAGTTCACCAAAGTGAAAGGGCACAAGTTTCTTACTACTAAAAGGGATTCAAATGGAGGAAAGCAGAAGCCGCTTGGGGAACCTTACCAAAGTTAAAGGGCAGAAGTTTCCAGACGATACAGAGGGGTTAAGAGCAGCAATCTGTTTGATTTTTTTTCTCCTTGAATCATTGTTTAGCAGCTCAACTTTTTTCTAACTAATCAGCATTGATCAGTGAGGGTTGTATCTCAAAAGTGATAATTTTGGCTCTCTAGGTCCATTTGGCAGTTAAATGCGGCAGTATAAAGTATTGCCTTTGGCTGAGATGCACGCGAAATGGCATCTTACTTATATATGCATCACATGTCATACTCAACAGCCTCCGGGCTAAGGGACTTCTTTTTTTTTTTTTTTTTTTTAAGAAAATGGGAATTAGGTATGAGACTTGTTTCATGTCGAACTTCAACAATCCGAACTGTTTATTTTGTATGTCTCGATTCATAAATCATTCTTACAAAAATTCAATTCAATCTGAAACCATTTGCTTATTTAATTATCAAGATAAAATTTGTTTCTTATATAAAAAAGTATTCATTAATTTTTTTAACCTAATTAGATATCTTAAATATTTCTGATTTTGCTAATATTTTTCAAAGATGATTTTTAAGGGTAGTTTCGTGACAACCAAAATAGAAAAAGAATATATTATGATTTAATAAATTATTATAAATGTAGCTGATAAATCCATCTCATTGTCTTATTGCCCCACCCACATTTTTAGTATAAATTTTAATGTCAGTTTTACCCTCTTGTAAAATGACGTGTAAGGACCAAAACAAAACGTACTGTAGATTGCCAATTTCCTTATGCCCACTGCACATTGCCGGATTGCGCATTTCCTTATGGCCGTTCACCATCTCTGTAAAAGAAAGGTGGTGGTGTGATCACTTGGTCCAGTAGTATGGAACGAATTTCAAAATTGTATTTCACACGACACATTCTAGGTTCAATTATTGGCACTTGTGAATCATACGAAGGTGATAAGGAGAGGCTGAAATGCCTCTGTGAGTCTTTCCAGCCATCGAAAAGATAGACTGCCGTGAGGAATCCACTAGTTGATTTTTTTTTTATAGACTGCTGTGAGGAATCCACTAGCTGATTTTTTATTTTTTAAAGAGCATGAATATTTAGGTTGATATATAGTTTAAGCGTGCTTACTTGTAAGGAATAGATTTATAAGTACGAATTATCATTTGCATTTATTAACAGCCAAACGAATGAAATGATTAATTGTTACCACATCACCATACCCTACGTGGTGACATAGTTGCAAAACAAAGGTATATATGGGATAACGACGGGAGTTGTATATCACATATTCATTCTCATAACTCATACCAGCTTCCATGATTAATTACTTGTTACCACATCATCACGAAAAATTATTGCCACCAACACAAAGAAACAGACTAGAAACCATTTTATGCTCACAGTTGTACGAAGCAGATGATTAATTATACATGATTGTGCTGCAGGTGTATACAAACAGGATGCCTTAAACACCAAGCAAGCACAACACAACCTAAAAGCAGTGACGAACACGAACCAGCGGGAGTCTGGAGCTAATTTTCCCTTCCTGAATGAACGAGCACTTCAAGACTCAATGAGCCGTTCCATAACCAATTTCACAACTGTAGGGGCATCAACCGTCACCGCTACTTTCACCGTGGGTTTATCACACCACTCCGTCACCTCACCAAACCTGTACGTATCGACCATAGTTAAGTAGAAATATATCAACAGGATTTAGATGCATATAAAACCATGGTATACCTCTACTAGGCTAAAACTTTATCTGGAACACGAAGTATAAGGGCTCTACCTTTTCTGTTTGTTGTACAAAATTGTGAGTCCTCTTGTGATGCCATTTGTCTGGACTCTAACAACACCCTCCATGTAAGTGAAAAGTGAAGGATTAACGGCTGCAACAAGTACTGCAGGATCATGAAGATAAACTCCTACACCATGATTAAATCAACCATCAGTATGTCCATGATTAAGGAAAATCCAATCCATTTGGGTTTCACCGACACTTTAGTGAACTAACCTTTTGTGCTATATGCATCATGATGGTAGGAGAAGTACACATCTAAAATTTTGCACAAGTATTGAGCAAACTTTCCATTTGACATTGCCAGCGTTTCTCTGTCAGCGTCTTCATGTAGCATAATGAAAGTAAAATAACTGGATTACGATGATTTATGTAATAACACAATCATGCATGAAGTTTTCCTACAGGAATTTTAATTATCAAGCGGCCATTTCCAAGACACTGCTTTCACAGATACCAGAACTTTATCCAGAGAAATGATCAATTTGGCACAAAACAGCAAATTTCCGGCATGGATTCCAGGAGGTGTATTTTAGGATTTCCAGAAGAACTATACAAGGAAGTGGATGCAGGCTAATTGATTGAACTCCTGGTGAGGTTTAAAGGCTCTGCGACAAAGTGTTCTCAAAGGCTGCGCTAGAAATCACAAATCTGAAGTATACTTGTTAGAAGGACTAGAAATTTCGCAACATAGTACCTGTCAAGACAACTTGATGGGTCACATTAATCCCCATAGCCAAAATATCTGCTCCACATGTAAATACCATATCTGCAGCATCTGGATCCCCAAATATCTGGTTTCCGAATGTAAAGCGGGTTGCAGAAACTCAAGTTGAAGTCTTTAAAAATTCGAATCTTAGATACAAATAGTTTAAGCAACTTACATTGGCCTCTGCTGCTGGATTTACATTCCCATTGACTGCAAAAGCACCACCAAGAAGAATAATCTGGCCAATGTTCTTTGCAAATGCAGGGTCTAGTTGAGTAGCCTACATTAAGGGATACACTGTATTACAAACGATTAAGAATAATTTTGAAAATCGAAAGCCATGCAACGTATCAAGAATCTGACCAGAGCAATATTTGTAAGAGGGCCCAATGCTACCACAGTGACCTTTCCAGGGTAAAGGCTTGCTTGTTCAACCAGAAAAGCTGCTGCCGACTGTTCAATTGGCTTTCCTTTTGGTGGGGGAAAATTTTGGTTGCCAAGTCCATCCACACCATGAACAAAATCAGCAATACGAAGTTTTGTACCTTTCTTTTCGTGGAAAAAGAAGAAATAATTGATGAGTTATGAATCTTAACATACAGTAGCCTGTCAATATATGCAAGAACATGGCCATCAAAACTACATGAGCATAAGATATAGTCGGGCAACAAGAGGTTCCTACGAAACTACTTTAGCTGCTATCATGTAGGTTTGCTAATTAAGGTTTTGTTGCTAAGTTATTTTGATGTAAGAAATAAGGTGAAAAACAGATACCGAAGGAAATAGAGAAGAAATTTCTTAAGAGTTAACAAAAGTATGATCACTATAGTCTACTGGTTTAAACTTGTGTCGCACAGGCGTGCAGTAAACAAATGCGATGAGAAGTGAAGACACTACAAAACCGAAAAAACAGCTCAAGGCAGAAAACAACAGGGAGAAGACAAGAAGAAGTTGAACTACGGGTTGAGAACATACAGTTATTGTGACGTGAGATCCTTCAGCCACCGGAATATCGGTTCTCCCTGCAACCTCCAACTAAACCCGAAGTACAAGTAAGCAACCAAGACAGCCGACAAAATGCCTAATGCAAAGCGAAATGGAAAGAAAAAGCAGATGTTGTAAGATTACCAAATGCAAGGCATTTCTCGTGGCGAGAGTGGTATAAACATTTCCATAAATAGTAGTAATTCCAATCACTTGCACTTCCGGGGATTGTAACGCCACAAATATGGCCATGGCATCATCTGCATGCACAGACGGCATAAAAACACAAATTCAGAATCCTCGTTGACTTTCTGATCCCCTCCCCCATAAAACACAGATTAATCAAACATACAGAAAAGAAAAGAAATTGATGGCATCCCAACTCACCGATACCAGGGTCGGTGTCAATGATGATCTTCTTGGCTTCCCTCGCTGCCCCCTCTGCCATGCTGATGCTGAAACTGAAAGTCTGGATCAATCCAACAGTCAAAGGAAACCACTTTCTGGATTGGATTGGATTGATTGTACGAGAACCAATTAAAAAGGTGGGGAGTTGGGATGATTCAATTCGAATTGCACGTTAATTCTTTCTTTCCAAGTTCGTGCTCTCCGCTCTGCAGAGGCCTGAAAGCTGGTCGCACCGCCGTATTTTATTTTACACGTTATATTGATAAGCTGACCGCTATCGGCGTGGGTCATACGCTAGGAAGCACCGCTCAGCCCCACTCTGGGATTGATGGCATTTCAGAAAATATGTGAGTAATAAATGGGCATGTTGGTCAAACGAAGATGACCTTTTCCTTTACAAAGAAAATATTCAGAGTACGGGAAACACGGTGCACTAATGTCAATGGTTTAAATTTTTTTCACACCTGTGCCTTTAGGATCAGACCGTTACAAACTTACACTCCCCTTTGCAGCTTTAACCTCCCTCCTCGGTCTCTGAAAAATCTCTGCCCTTTACTGCCTCACCCTCCCCTCCCTTGTCCCTCCCTCTGTCAGATTTTCAAATCATTTGGTTCGGTTTCAGATCTGCTGAGTGACGGCCTCCACACCACAGGCTATGAACCGATCGTTGTCGTCAAAGTTCGCCAAGAAAGCCTCTCCGGCACCGCCACTGGCGACGGCGAACAAGAAGAAGAAGCAAAAGGAGCAGAGCCGTCGAAATCCACTACGGGATCTCAATGCCGTCACCGTTGGCACTAGCAACACTGGCAGCGACGCTTCTTCTTCAATCTCGGTCGAAGCCCCACGAGGTTGCCTCAGGTTCCTTCTCTCTCATTCTTCTTCCTGTAATTCAAAAACCCCTCTTTACACACCTAAAACTCTCTCCAAAACCCCGAAATCAGCTCCTGCTGTAAGGCCTACAAGACCATCAAAATCCAAGGATAACCGCTCCAAATTCAATGCTTTGGAAAACCCGGAGAAACCCACCTCACGAAATGCAAGTAAATCTACGACCAATTCTTCTAGAAGTGGACCAAGTCGAAAACTTGTTCAGTTTCAAAATCAAATGGAAATTCCCTGGGTAAGTTAGAATCTGGGTCTGAGGTGGAAGGTAGTATTGTAAGGGTGGTGGGCAATGCAGGTCAGCCCACTGAGCTCAAATCAGATGGTATTGATGGAAATTTTACTCCTTTGAGTAAGATACCGACTGGGTTGGGTTTGGACTCCAAGGCTGATAAGGCTGAGGATGTGCTCGAGAATTCTGACAAATCTAATAGTAGAACCCCACCAGTTCAGGCCTCCGTATCTCCAGAGATACAATGCGGATCATCTGTGGTGTCCACGAGCAAGCTTGCTTGTTATTCTGCTGGTCATGTCCTTTCAGGGATCACTGACAAGAGGAAGTGCAGAGGTAAAGGAATTCTCAGTGTAGGACAGAATGATTCGGGCTTCAGTAAAGGGAAGGCTTTAGGCAGCTTTGAGGATGATGACGACAACGCAGATGATGAAGGTGATGGTCATGTTGATGGAACTGGCAAAGGGGTTGTTGGCAATCTGGATGCTTCGGTTGTTCCTTTACCTACTGAAGCTTCAATGCATTGGCTTTTGTCACCGTGTGATGAAGGGGATGAGGATCACAAGGAGCATTCCGATAATAGCTTACAGAATTCTGTAGGTCCTGTGAATCTTTATTCTCCATTTTCAACCTCAGGTCGTCATGGATTTTCTTCAGATGTATGTGAAAATACTAACATGGAAAGTACTACTCATTTTAGCAGGAGTACTTCAACTTCTCCAAGTTTTCATGAAGTTCTGGAGCCCGTAAATGAGCATGTTGGTGTTTTGTCTTCTCCGCATTGCACACCTTGTTGTGAGGCTGTAACTCTGGAAGAGGAAAGAAAACTCCACTATGGCCATGACAGTGAGACTTCTCCATTTTCTATGGTTTCACTGGACAGTGGCAATGTTATCTGTACTCCTCAATCAGACTCGAGTATAGAAAATCATAGGAAACACTACTTTGATTCTGAACTGAGTTCAGTAGCTGAAGCTATTCAGATGGCAAGCTTGTCCCCGAAGACGAACAGTCAGTGTACTGATTGAGGATCAGATTGAATCCAGTTTCCAGTTTGAATGTCTAACCACAGCTTGCAGTTCAATCAGTCAATTGCATAAAGTTTTGGATGATCGCGCTTCCTGGCTCTCCAACTCTACACTAGAGAATATATCACAATCGGAGATGAGGATTTCATGGAGAGAAGGGTTAATGAGTCATATCGACGATATGGATGAAGATGATTGCTGCAGATGTTTATCGGATGAAGAGAAAGATATCAATGGGTGCGGCAAAGATCCATTAAAAAAGGAAGAAGCAAGTCGTAGTCCTGAACTCAATGTCCAGGTAGGGGAAGAAGATGAGAATGTAACTTATAAGTTGCGGACGGCAGAAGTTTTGGATGATGAAGGAGGCGGCATTCGTCCTAAGTCGTCATCAAGAATGTGTGCTACTGCTGAGTCGATAAGCACTGATGGAGGTGGAGGGTTGCTTGCTTCAGGGGATTCAGATTGGAGTCAGTGCTACAAGAATGAGCTGTTCAATGCATAACACAGATATCCTTTGATCTCTTCTCTGGTATGTTTCTACTTGCAGTAGAGCAAGTGCGACAATCCTTGACCGGTCCAAAGTGGTTGTTTTTGTTTCGTTTTTTCCTGCAGGCGGAAATGGATAAACAATATTACCGCTTAAAGGACCAACAAGAGTGCATGCACTGTTGTATCCATAGTTGCTATAATTTGAGTTATGTATGACATAAATTCTCTCCGATTCAATTTAATTGAGATGTTTCAAATTCTGCGAAAGCAGGCGTATTTGTGAGTTTTTCTTTTCTAAATGGTAAAAGTTGAAAAGGTATGGTAAAAGTAAAAGAATGGTGGCTACTGGCTACTGCTACTGTACTGCCTGCCTGGTCTTGGATGGACTCATGGTGTGATATCTTTCATTGCCAAACAAACAAATCAAGGCAGGGAGGCAGGGCAGGCAATCGGCGAAATTCCAAACGGGGCCAAATGCCAAATGGGCGGGTGGGTGGAAGAAAAACAAAAACCTATGTATACTGGACTGGACCAAGTAAACAAATAGATACTTAAAATAGTAATATTTATTTAATCACATTTCAAAGTTGGTTTTGCATGTTGTACAAGTAAATAGATACTTGGAGAGTATAGTAATACTACAATTACATCACACGCATACCCTCCTTCTTCTGCAGGCTGCATATTAGATTAGATTATAGATAATTAAGAGGCAAGAGGCAGCTGCAAAAAATTAGCAAGTTTAAAACTAGCTAGCTTATTTTTATATATTTACAAAATATTATTATTATTAAGGTGAGGGGGAAAGTTTTGAAACTATTACAATAGAGGGAGGAGGAAATTTCAAACCTGGAACGCATGTGTAGAAACCTAACACCTTATCCACTAGGATATTGAACCACATACAACTAGCGAGATAATTTGCTTTTCAAAATATAAAAGAGGACGATAAAACAATTACTCCAAATTCTAATGATGATGAATAGATTTAGTTTGACGAACATTTCTCGAGTTATTCATTTTTCCTCTCTATATATTTTGTTCATTAACTAATTAGACTGAATTTATAATACACAAATGTAAAGCTTTTGTGTAGTATTGCATTATGCCCCTTTGCACTTGTTATTGTGATAGGATGAAAGGGTCTTGGCCCTTGGGATGGAGAAGGTCTTGGGTGCGGTACCCGGAGCGGGGTGTCGTGAGAGTGGGGTGAGATCCTAAACGAGCCATGGTTAGCACGGTACAACCGAATTCTGCACCACACCAATTCCCCTAAATGGACACCACCCCCACTGGGTTCCCTAAAAATGAACATCGATGGCGTTGGATCTCATCCCGTAGGTTAGGTGGTGTCGAGCTCATTGTCAGGGATGACTCTGCAGGTTTTTTAGCAGGTAAGGCTGCGGCTGCAAATTTCAGGGATACCTCCTCCCCTCTTTTGGCTGAAGCTCTTGCGGTTCGATCGGCTGTGATTTGGGCGATTTCTAGTGGATTTCACAATATTATCTTTGAAACTGATTCACTTCAGATTGGAAAAGCTCTCAGGACCCTTCGATTAACCTTTTTCCTATCATAATTTAATTTTATGAACATTTTGATCTAAAAATATTTAAATTTTAATAAATATTAAAAAATTATTAAACTTTAATGAATTTTGAAGTTAAATATTTTATTTAATTATTTTAACTGTTAGATTTAAATTTAGATCGTTAGATTTTTTTTAAATTAAATTATGATAATATTCCTAAAAATATTTATAAAATTTAAATACTTTGTTATATTATATATATATATGTAACCCCTGGATTTTACTGGATGTCCTCGTCGAGGATGTCTCTTCCATAAGTGAACTTTGTAATGACTTTTCCTAATATAAATCTATCGTTTCCTTAAAAAAAAAGAAAGAAAAAGGGTTTTCTCCCATTTTATTCTACAAGTTTGAAGTCAAATAAAAACTGGCGTGTGGGACTTGGTCCAATGAATCACCAAACAAACCAAACAATTATATCTATCTATTTTTTATATGTAATTTAGGGCTAACCGGTGACGGGCGATTTCATCTCTTTATATAATATATATATATATATATATATATATATATATATTGCAAAGAGTATTCTTCTCTCTTGAGCTACCTGGAGCCTACAACAGCCTAACAGAGTATAGGGATCAATCGATAAGCTTCATTCGACTAGACTAGACTATACGATATCCAATCGACAATTATAATTATGGAGGTCTAATCCCAATGGTTTACAAGGCAATGAAGGGGAACAGAACTCGCCACCAGTACATCTGCCTCTCCTCCTCCTCCGCCTCATTAGCAGCAACAGCAGCAGCAGCAGCACCACCACCAGCATCAAATCAAACTAATCATTACAACATCGCTGACTTCTACATCGATCACAACAGTTACGTCTCTGTCCCCCAACCTGCACCTTCAGCTGAACAACATCATCATCTTCCAACGATATTTAATGTCAATGGTACATCTGCCCCGGGGGATCAGTCGTCCACAACCACAAACATTATCAACCATGGTGGTCGTCAGTTTCAACACCGCAGACACAAATCTGTTGCTCTCGGTTCTGCTTCCAACTCTATGCAAGGATTCTCGTCATCGGTGGACGCTGATGATTCCATTAATTCTCCTCCTTCAAAGCAATTTGTCCAGTATCAGAGCCATAGACGAATATTCTCGTGCATCAGCGGTGGTGCCTAGGCCTAGCATTAATTCTCCTCCTTCAAAGCAACTTGTCCAGTATCAGAGCCATAGACGAATATTCTCGTGCATCAGCGGTGGTGCCTAGGCCTAGCAGTAGCTAGCCAAAGCTAATTAGCAATGTTGTACCTCACAGCTCAAAGTGCTGAATATTTCAATTACAGATTTATTGAATGTTGTAAGAATTACCTCTGCTGTCTGCTCACTTCTTGTATCGATCTTTTCTCTGCTTTTGTCTCGTATATAATTTTCCTGCAAAATTACTAGCGGTTGAATACGCAATGTGTATATACAAGGAGTTCAAGTTATACATGTTCCTCGTTATATTGAAACAAAAAGCATATATATGTATGTGTATATATATGTGTGTGTGTGTGTGTGTGTGTGTGTATAGAAGTTATAATAAACACTGCTGGAGAAAAGCTTAGCTAGTTTTATGGCTGTAACTGTAAAACCAGTAATCGATGAGATGGTGCGACAGAACAGGAGAGATCGATATAAATTGCTTGCATCATGAATGTGTTCGTTGATGGTCATCTAATCAGAACGTCCGTCATGGGTCAAATATACAATACTGCATGTATATATACAACATATACAAATACAAATTATATATTGAAGCCAGCAGATGGATGGAACAATGGAATAACTAGGTGACCAACAACAAACATATCCACTGCTGCAAATTACCACCACCATGGAATAACTAGGTGACCAACAACAAACATATCCACTGCTGCAAATTACCACCACCAATACTTGATAGGCCGCTCGGTCGCGCACAAGTTTGGCAAAATAGTGCCTCCATATAAACAAGCAGTAAAACAACTAGTATAGTAGTGATAAGGAGAGAGATACTAGATAACCTAGAGCTTCAGATTCAGCCTGCACTGGGTTTAAAACTTGGACCATCTCATCACATCCCATGTTAGGTATTCTGACATTGAATAATGTATAAAAAGGAATATGCCAAGCATCATTCCCTTGGCTAAAACAGCATATCCTTGAGAATCAAACTTTGTCTCTCTCTGTCAGTTTTACTGGTTGGTAGTGGAAGTTGGAAGTTGGAACATGGAATGGTTGTTTCGAGTCAGCGAGGTTAAGGGCGAAGCGCTGTGGTGATTTTGGTTTAGTACTTAGAATGTATGTCCGAATTTATCAAGTGTGGCTGTGCAGACCATTCTGTAGTCTAGGATGAGTTTCACTCCCTCTTAACCTTAATTTAATGAAGCCTAATAAGCCGATCAAAACTTCTTCATGCCCAGTTTCCACAACTCGACTAAGAAGAGGCCAGCCTAAGCCTATTACCAGCTAAGTCTTATATTCTACTTAAAAGCCAATACAGAACTGCAAGTTAAATTCCATCAATCAAATTAAAAACAAAGGCATCTGATAACATCAAGAACAAGCAAAAAGTGCTGTTATACATAACAATATAATGTCTTGTTAGGAGTTACCAACAATATATATACATAGAGAGAAAGAGAGCGACAAGGAAGAGATGCTATGGCTACAAGCGTGGATAGGTATTGGCATTGCCTTGCTCTATGCCTACTTGTCATGGCAATATTGTAGGAGTTCCAAACTATATGGCTTTTAGCCCGAATATTGTTACGAGGAAAACTTCGCCAACAACCAATATCATGGTTGGGAACTGACGGGAACATATGGAATTGCTTCCTGCCTATCTCCAATGCCATTCAAACAAGGTGGTCTGGCTGCTCCATAGTAAAAGAAAGCCATCACCTTTGACAACTCATCTCCACTTCGAATTTCTGAACAGTCGACATAAAAAAGGAGTTGAAATCATGCTGCAATTACGAGGCAAGAATCAAACGCCCATGTTCTAAAATAAAAATTACCTTTCTCGCGATATAAGATCTTCCCAGCTTTAGTGAAGATGATCTCGGGGAAGACAGACACTTGGAGAGCAGATACCAAATCATGCTCAGTAACAGCATCAACTGCAATACACTGTTAAACATGAAAAATAAATATTAGCCATAATGATCAGTAAAGGGGGTGTGAGAGGGTACTAAGCACACGTACACTATTACAGTTGGGGGGTAGACTTACCCTTGGTGAAGGTAGCCTGCAGTTCCATATAATGTGTATAGCCTTCTCCAGTTCATTCCGGATTCTTTCATTCTCTTTCGGTCTGAAAAGAGGAAAAAATGTTAATCGAAACAATTTTCTCATATAACGAACTATAACTGAAACAAGGAGCCAAGATCATAAATTTCGATAAGAGACAAGTTAACATAGCATAGCAAGAAAGAAATCATGAGAAAAATGGAAAACCGGACCTTCTATAGCGATTGTGTACAAGAATGATTAAAGGGCTGATGTCCTTGAAAACAGTCTCTTCCCATTCTGCAGTTGTTACATCTTTAATGGGACGAATGTAGTTATCATCTTGCCACACTACTTCACTGTCGCTGTCATCATTCTCATCGTCATCCTTCTTTGGCGTATTCTTGATGGTAATCTTGTCAAAGAATTGATCCAACTTGAAACCGCGGCCATCCGCATCCTCAGGCCATTCAGGATCCTCCTCCTCTACAACAAGAGGATAATTGGCCAGAAGTTGTTGCACCTTCTTTGTCCTTTCACTAGGGTCTAACTCCTCCTTAACATCGGGGTTGGTATCTAAAACTCGTCTAATTGTGTTTCTCCATTCACGTCTCTCTTGAGAACCCATGAAATAGGGATCATCCTTGATACCGGAAGAAGGTTCATCATCATCATCAGAGGAGTCCCCCTCTTGTTGGTATACGGTTTAGAGCATACAATCTAGTAAAGTTGGAGCTATGGACATGTGTTGGGACACTCGCAGCGGTGTTCATCCATATTCTGTTGTGATTAGCTTGGGTTTGCTGGGAATGAGGAGGCAACGAAAGGAGCATGAAGAATTTGTTGTTGGGTTTTGGTGAGGAGAAGAGATAGGGAAGTGCGGTGGTAGTTTGCAGAGCCATTTCCAACACTTGACAGCAGTCGGTAAATGGCAGAAAGCAAATCAGTGAAAAGTGTAAATTCAATTCCAATTCATTGCACCATGTCAGCAAGGAAAAAATTAAAAGTATAGAGAAGAAAGCTGACCTGAGCTTGGGATGACGATGACGAGGAGAAACCAAAACCCCCAAGCACCAGCCGCGGCAGCTAAAACCCCAACCAACAGAACGCAGCGCGCCTGCAGCAACTGCCACTGTCAAATGAATCAGATAAGGCAGGCTTCCACTTCTAACTGTTTGACCTTGCAACCCAAGCCCAGCCCACCTACCAAAGGCCAGCCCATGAGAGCGATGAGGAACTTATGTGGGCCTTCACTTATACACTCTTCCAGCCTTCCTACTTTCGTATATTACGTATGATGCCGATGCATTCATCGAGGGAGGGAACGTGGCAAATTACGTGATGCTATTCACACACTTCTTTTAACTTTCTCCACACACCATGTTAATTTTTGTTCTTTGATCAATTTCAAATCATTCGATTCAATCGGCGAAAATTGAGGAGTGAAAAGTGTAAAACGGCGGGTAGATAACAAAACCCATATCAAATTTTATCATTTCTTTTCAGCTTCAGATCTCATTTGGATAATTGGTGTTCGTTCAGAGCTTTAATTTTAAGCTCCTTTTGCAGCAGCATAAGTTAAGGTCCGGCAAATATTCGCGGCACCTGAAGCCTGAAAGCCGTCTGCATTGCTATGCCGTGCCATAAATAGAATGTGCAACAAAAAACAAAGCAAAAGAAAAATGAAATCCTTCTACAGAAAAAAAAAACGCGACCATACGGGACAATACAACACAGCACAGGCATCAAGTTTTATTTAAGGCGAAATAGGCAAATCCAACATATCGGTATCATGATGAGGGGCAAGTAGAGAAGGAAGGAGCCAAGTAAAGAACCCATCATCCATCTCTCCCTTCAATCTCTGCGTTGAGTACTCCACCACCAAATTCCACAGATCTCCAACTGTCCATTCATGCGAATGTATCCATCGAGTTACCTACTCCACAAAGCGCAGAAAGTAAAATATAAACATGCTATACACACAGAGTCATAAAAGCTTGGCACGAGCTGGGTGGAGGGAATGTACCTGCTCTATGTTTCGCAATGCCTTCATGCCAAACGTGTAGTACAAAATGAATGGTCTTTCTGCCTGAAATCATATCCATTTTGATCATTGTTAAATCTTAGAATTCTCGTGAAATTGTCTGAGTCAGCTAAAGATTTCACACATGATATATATCCCATTCAGGCTTTTTCACAAAATTCTCCCTTTAGTTGCTTTGAAGGCGTAACATTAAACTACCTGAGAGGCAGCTAGCCACTGAACCTATGGCCTTCACTTCAGGATCTCCTCCAAAAGCACCACATCCCCAATTCCCAGTTGCAATCCCAACTTCATCATCCTCATTATCCAGAGATGACATCTCAGAATCTCTGATCTGTTGGTGTACAGATTGTCCTCCAAACACCTCATCAGAATTTTCGCTAGTTTCCTGCGACTATAGAAAAGTAAAAGTCAAAAGTCAAACAAGCAAATTTTCTTGTACAAGAACAGCAAGTTCAGATGATGCAAACCAAATATAAACTTTACATTAAGAGCTTGGCTAAAGTTAATAATGCAGATATCATTTCCAAATGTAGAACATCACCTAAAACCCCACACACACACACACACACAAACCAAGATAAATGTGATAGAAAATTCATACCAAAAGATTATCACTACAAATGTCACTGGAGTCTTTAACATCTGGATGAAGCTGAACTCCAGAACATCCATCCTCTCGAAACAATCTCTTGTGCTGCTGATATTTCAATTGTTGAAAAAATCCACAGAATGCCTTATTAGTTTCCCTGTTGAAGCCAACAAGTTGGATAGATAAAACTTCAGCTATAAAACGAAGGAGATCAAAGCTGCACTCAAGTGTGACAACAATCCAGCATAATATCACCAAGAAATTGAAGGCAAGGATTTGGAATTTGAACAAAGAAGAAAACCAAGGGTTTGGGGTGCTACTTTATGCTTGTGAAGAGTAATTCAACAAAAGTAATTTGGGATGCTTGAAGCCTTCCTCGAAGTTGCAGGGACCTGATTGCTGAGACTTATTTCCTCTCGACTATATTTGAATGGAAGTTTCATTTCCTAAGTCTCAAAAAGTTTATTGTATGGAGTCCCAAGGGCCGGCCTCCCACTCTCTTATGCAGCATTTATTAGCTTGGCTGAGTTGGGTGGATCATGCCATAAAGCAATGTAAAATTGGCTAGGTAGATTATGGGTTTCTATTCAGGAAGCATGACTATACCATATGATTCAAATAATCTGTCTTTGCAGTACAATATACGTACCGCAGGAGGAACTCTTGTTTGTATTGTCTCATCCCTGGGCTGCATAATGCATCTATTGCAATAATTCTGGTTTTACGTCTTCTGAGAGAGTCTACATCCCTTTTGTCCACATAGTCACCAGCAAAACGAAAAGAAGAAGCATACCTACACCACTTAAAGAAATGATGACAATTGGAAAGCAGAACCAAATTAAATTCATGGTGTATTAACAACAAATGCTTAACTCCTCTAATCAAAATATATGTGATTACTGTCTAACAGACAAATAAGCAAACAATATGTTATCAATGCTCACCCTGTATAATCGGAAAACCTTTCTGCACCAATAATTTCTATAGCCTCATTATCTTCCATGGAAGGCATGAACAGCATGCTAGCAATTAATTCAGGATTGATCATGAAACGGATCTCTTCCTACGTGAGATGATAATAACAAATAAAATTAGGTGCTTCTGCAACTAGATCATGGCCTGCGTGATCCAAGAAAAGGTAAACATATAAAAATACAGTTTAAAAGTGCTGGCACGCACACTTAGGTGAAACATATAAAGAGTCACAAAACCTTACCTGTACACAGCCCCTGCGAAGAGCACCACCTCCTATATACTTGTTTGCAAAGTCAACTTCAAGAGCCCCACTTGACTGATCTTCTATCAAGCCTGAGCTGTGAACCTAGAACGATATGAAAAGACTACTTAGCAAGGTATTGCAACTGCAAAGCTGTAGTAGGACTAGGAGAACGAAAAGGGGAAATCAATCCATCTGCGTGCAACCGGAGGCTTATTATTTAATACAGCTGCTCATCTTTTACCTCAAAGCGGCAGAGAGGAATGTCTGACTTGCTCCAAAAACTAGCCTTGGGGTAAGAAATGCTTAAAGGATCATGTTCCAGGGAAGAACTTTCCGCTCAAATGAGACAAAACCCTCAGGCATATGGAAACTTATCCTTTCAAAGTAGTGTATAATGCACCTTATCTTATTCTCCTGTTGTTCACTATAACTGTCATATAACGTCCTGAAAATACATTTGAGGTGGTAGGTATATTTAACTACAACTATACGTGTAGTAAAAGTAAACTAGAAGAAACAAGTGCCGCATAAGAAATCAAAGATGACATACGCAAACAAATGGTCGAAGTTGATGGTTGGGAGATGTCTGGCACCTCGTTTATTGGTGGGGAACAAACAAAATAACGAGCACCCGAGAAGAGCACTAATTAGTTCCTGAAAAGAAACGCGGACATTAATCAGTAAAGCAATACCACAACTAAAGGAAATTTTGGGATGCGATCGCTTATGGTTCTTCAGATAAAAAGCCAAAATAATGTTCACCAAGTGCAAGCAACAATGGTGATAAAGATACCTGGCTGAGCAACACGATTCCTGCTGCTTGTGAATCCAGTAGACGAAGGCCATTTTTGACTCCATGGATAAGGCCACCTGCGTTTTGATAGTGGTATTCTAGCAGAGAGGGCAAGCGCAAAAGCAAATTCGCCAATGCCGGGACAACCTCTCCAAACCATTTCCTCGCTTCCTCCCTGGACATGAGCTGCACAACCCACGCCTTTCCATTCAGAATTCAGATGATATGCTAATGCTATGGATATCAAACACTTGAACAGAAAAAGGAAATTAAAAATAAAAGTGTGCAAAATTGAATGAATTGCAGAAATGCAAGACCTCGTCGAAGAAGAGGGCGTAGCCGTGTGGGGCGGAAGGAGCGACGGGGTGAGAGGAGATCGAAAGAGAGTGCCGGAGGTCCGAAATGGCTGTGAATAGCAGCTCCCCAGAATGCAACCCACTCTGCTCAGGACCTCCCGCCAACGCCTTTAGAGCATCCACCACTTGCGACGGCCAGAACAGACTGCACGACCGTACCACCACCGGCAGATACTCTAGTATCGACTTCAAGTCTTTCCTCCCTTCCATTCTGTGGTATCACTTCCTTCGTCTCCCTCGCACTCGCTGTTGAACTGCTCTCCGGGGAAAGCGGTTCCTTTTTTTTTTTTTTTTTTTTTTGGGAGTCCACGTGATATTTCAGAGTTTTTCTGCGAGGAAATAATTATTATTTCGGGCTTGGGCCCGTTAGCGATGCGGAGCTAACGAGTCCAAAACAACATAAAAGGAAGACCCAAGCCAGAAAGATTTCACGCTTTGCGAAGATCACGGGAGAAACTTTGTCGTATCTTTGCTCTTATTTTGTAAAAAAGTTATTTTCACATCTCAAATCCGTGAGCTTTCCGTCACAAAACATAAAATAAAAAAATAAAAAATAAAAAAAAACATTTCCGTTTCGTTAAGGCTCCCTCTTTAGAATAAGTAACGCTCATCCTATTTTATTTTTTACCATTAACTAAAATATAACGTTTGTATTTTTTTACCATTAAATCAAATAAAACAAAAGAGAATCCAAAGTCAAAGTATTACACATTGCTTCTCCATTACCAAGCGCTGCAATTTGAAAGTTGCATTGGTTCTATTTGGTGTTGGTTCATATTTCTATTGAACCTTGTAACATCAAGTAAAACTGTAAAGGTAATGGGAGCATACCAACCAGCTCTGGGTTAGTTGATCCGGTGATACTCTTTCAAATTTTGCGTTCCGATGCATCCTAGTAATTCGGACTACTAGTAGGCAGCAGCACGCTATTCAAACTAGAGCACCTGTTTGTAGGAACAACCCTAGCAAAAACCATCACTTAGTTTCTGTGCTTAACTGAACGGCCAAGCACATCTGTCGTGTTCGAATCTTCACAAACCAAGACAAGAAAAGCCTGCTCAACAGCTTGTCTGTGCACAGTACCATATCGGCCAACAATATCAGGTGCATCTCGAAAATAAACGTAAACTTATATATTCATATTTCCTTCAACCAAACTACAAAACATTAGCAGGAAGGAAAACAATAACTGACAAAGATAAGGTCAAAACTACTAATCCGAAACTTATGTCCCTATTTTCCTCAAACAGATCCAATTATTTTAAACTAGTTAATTTACTACTACAGACTACACCCTTCGTACAAAGCCAACTATCATCGCATGTTACCCTCTCGCAGGACATCCATCATATTGTAGATGCGCTTGTCTGCCTTCGAATGAATCTGCATTCATACAATATTTCATATCATAAAAGTAAAGTATTGCATAAAAGGTCCTACGAGTTTCCAGCTTAATCACCAAATATACGTTATCAATATTCTAGCCAAATAATTGATGAGTATTCAAATCAGATACTATATTTGAATAGGAACTTAACCAACCTTCTTTCCAGTCGTCAAAGTAGTTCGTTAATATATTATTTCTTAAGACCAAAATTTCATTATTATTAAAACCATCATGAGCACTGCAGCAAGTAGGAAAGCAAAAGAGGGATAGAAAAGCTTCAGCACCTTCTTGGCAAGGAAAATAACAGCATCGATTGTACCCTCTGCATATATTGATCTACCACAAACATTATGCTGAAACTCGAAAGAAACTCTGCAAAAAGGGGAAATAAATTCAATGGACCAGAGTTACAACTATAAACAAAAGAAAATTTGTCTGCGAGAGAAAGAGAGACAGCGAAAGAGGATATTCTTATTACGTTTTATCAGGTGAGGTCAGATGATACATATGAAATGCGTGACCACACAAATGCTCCTCTGGAACTCCCACCAGCTCCAGTTGTTGCTGGGGATCCCGGATCAATTGGATCTGATGAAATTTGTCAGAAGATTGAAAAACTAAATAAAATGATGAAGGATGAAAGATGAAAGAAGAGTTATCCAAGTTTATTTGGTACTTCATGTAATGGGACTGACCATGCTTTCTTAACCTCAAAGAAAATGATATGTAAAACAAGCCTACTTTCCTTGCAAATTTGAAAAATAAAGTAATAAGGAGTCTGACGTGTTCCATATAAAACTAACCAGATGAGGCAAAATGAAAAAGAGATGCTACAGTTAACCATTTCTAATTATCAAAAGCTATGATTAACATGTATCATTTAACATGCCTGTTCCATATCAAAGGACACCCCCAACTTCTGGAAGCAAGAAATAACAGCCTTGGCAGTTCCAGATGCATCAACTTTAGTTGCTTGATGGGATTCCATCACCTGAAATGAATAAAAGAACTTTCAGAAAAATGTAGCACACCAGTCAAATGAATGTCAATATTATACTGAAACATGACCTTTTTATCAAATAATTACTTTCTCTTATATTATATTTAGCATCAGTAACAAATTATAAGGGAAAAGTGAAGTACCTGTAGAGAATACCCAGAGAAGGCTCCAGGAAATTGCTCAGCCATGATATCCATGGCTGCAAGAAATGCCACAACCTATTCATACCAAACAACGATTAGGATATGGTAGGCAAGCCCCCAGAATATTAAAAACCATTAAGGTACCAAATCCTAATCACCTGTTTCCCCATCTGTGGAGAAATCACTGCATAGACTTTTGAGTCTTCTACAGTCTTATATAATTGATCCCTGTCCCCGCCTGTTGTTCCCATCACGAAGGGCACTCCAACTTTGCAATATAGCTCTGCATTATCTGGATACGATGGAAAAAAAAAACCCCAAGAGAATAAAGACACAGAATCACCTACACTATTTGCAGCAACAATGGAAAGGAAAACACTTTTGAAGTAAACGAACGTCGATATAGAGTTTTCCAAACCTACGGTATTACTTACCGTTGACCGCAGAAGGGACGGTGAAGTCGATGACAATCAAATTGGGATATTTCTGGAAAAGGGATGCAAGGGTGCTTTCTCTTTCATGAGGACCATGCACTAGAATCTCGTTTGCACCGACTTGGACGGTTTGGCCAGATTCCTCAGCGGAGCCAAAAGAAACTGGAACCACGGTGAGTCCTGCAGAATTTGCTGCTTGGATGATGGCCTTCCCCATTTTGCCACTACATCCATTTACCTTTTGGACAAAAAGAAGACAAATTCATGGAATTTGGCATCGCTAACATAGCTGCCGTGCTGGCAGTTATGATTTAAATTATCAAAGTTCCAATCATGCAAATTATCATAGGTGATGGGAGTTTGACGGGAATTGATTGAAATTTCTGAAATGGCTATTGATTTAGCGTAGCAGAGTAACGAGTAATAAGATAAGGAAAGCATTACCATGATAGGAATGTCAATCTTGTTCTTGGAGGGAGACTGCTCAAGCTCAACGCTTTGGCCGGGTACGGCTGAAACTGACATCACCTTTGCAGTTGCTGCAGCTGACGACGACGACAATGAAAGTGTTTGCCTCCGAGCAGTGAAGACGGTAGCCGCATCCAATCTGGTGGTTGCAGCTCCAGCCAAGAACGCCCGCTTCAGCTGCTGAGGAGGAAGAATCGCACAACTGGCGGCTGGAAGTTTGAGCATGGTCGCCATTGTAGCGGAGGCTTCTTTGGGGGTTAGGGTTTTAGGACAGAGGACGTCGCAGGGGGGGATTTGATTTGTTTAGGGTTTTATTAAGATAAAAATGGCTTGAAAATTTTAACTTTTTTTAAATGTGATTTTTTTTTTTTGTTAAGTTCCCAATTTCTTTCTTTGTTGAGAAACTGTGTAAGTGTCAGAGAGTGAAGGAAAGAGTGCACTTTAAACGCAGCGTTTTGGTGTAGGTCTAAAATCACTTAAGAGATCCGTCTGTTGCTGTGAAAGTTGAAGGAAGAAAATGGCTGCTGCTTGGGCTTCAACACAGTGTTTCAACTCTCGCCTCCTCCCACCGCCGGATACTTGTCGTTCCCACGGAGGCAGAGGCAGCAGCAGCATTCAACGCCTTCTCCTGTCGTCTCAGATTCCCAAATCCCTCTCTCTTTCTTCGTCGCCATCTTCCTCTTCGTTTTCCATAGGAGGAGGAGGTTGACTTTTTTTATTCTCTCTTAGTAGATTATAATTCAACCATTTCTTTTCTGATTTCGTATTGTTATTATCTGGTTTTTGGCAAAGCAAAATCGATTTTGGTTTTGTTTCTGATTGCAGGTGCAATTGAGAGGAAGGAGCGTTCGTCTTTTGCTCAGACAGCGGCTGTTCGCCATCTCGTGGGTTCCGTCACCAAAACTCAGGGCCTCCGTTTCGCAGTGGTCAGTGGTCGCTACTCCTCCCTCCCTCCCTAACTCTCTTCTCTTTTCTTATTTACAATCCAATCGAATTATGTTTCTTCTAATAAGTCTTCTGATGTTTAATGCCTTCCTAAATCTTTTAATGCTTCCAAATCTTATCAAATCTCAGGTTGTGGCGCGGTTCAATGAGTTTATAACAAAGCAGCTGTTAGAGGGAGCACTGACCACTTTCAGCAACTACTCAATTCAAGACGAGGATGTTGACGTATGTAACATAAATAAACTCACAAATACGTACACACATACTCTGCATTCGTTCGGCTTCCTTCAGTAAATATCATGTCTTATGTTTGTTTCTTGCTTTTCCACCAGCTGATTTTACATGACCTTGACTGATTATTGCTATTGCCTTTCCCTCAGGTTGTGTGGGTTCCTGGTAGTTTTGAAATCGGTGTAACTGCACAGAGGCTTGCAAGTTTGGGAAAATATCATGCAATTCTATGCATCGGAGCTGTGGTACTTTCATGCATTTTGTTTATCCTTATAAAATAGTACATTGTGTCCATGAAAGTTAATTTATCAACTGCTTCTTGTCAGTAGATTAGAGGTGATACAACCCATTATGACGCGGTTGCTAATTCAGCAGCATCCGGAGTACTTTCAGCCGGATTACAATCAGGTTGCTGCCTGTCAGTTTTTTGTTAGTTTCCGTATTAGTTTTTTGTTAGGATGGTCTGTCCATTCCCGAATCTATTCTTGGGTTGGTGGTAGTCTCTCTCTCACATACATTAAGGTTTCTTTTTCTTCTCATATGCTTGAATTTTGTTTCCTCGTTAAAAAATTGAACTGCTTCTCTTATGTCTCTGTAGGAGTGCCGTGCATATTTGGTGTCCTAACTTGTGATGATATGGAGCAGGTAAATATTTTATCATAGTATTCAAATGTAGCACTGAAAACTCTAGAGAGTTTTCTTTTTATTACAGGAGCGGGAAATATGATCGATCATACTGTTTCCTTTTACTACCATCACAGGCTATCAATCGAGCAGGTGGTAAATCTGGAAATAAGGGTGCAGAGACTGCTATGACAGCTGTAAGTTGATATCAAATTATTCTTAATTAAGTTATCTTGGTAGCAGAGGTATTGCATTTGATTTTGGTTAATTGCTTCTCTTTATATTTTTCTTTGAGTATTGAGAATTATAAAAATGTAGTGTTTAAACTTATTCTAATGCATTAATATAATTTAACTTTTAATTAGAAACTGTAAACTGATTAAAACCCTTCCATATGACACTAATATAACCTGGCCTTTAGGGAATTTGTATGAATAAGAGGATAGATGCAAGTAGGTTCCATGTTGAAGACGGGATTGTTTATTCATGAACTGCGCTTTTATATATTTTCTGTTTGTTCCAAGGGTAATTTCATTTTTCTCTGTTTTTAGTTTAGGTATAACCCGTTCATGATTATTTTGATTTGCACCGCAGATTGAGATGGCATCTTTGTTTGAGCACCAACTGAAGTAATGGTAATGTTACTCTGAGTCTGAGGAGAGGCAGATAAATTTGTAGTTTGGTCAGTGACTCAATGTTTTCCGTTGCTAGATGTGTTCATTGTTGTTGTTGTTCCATTTTTGAACTGCTAGAATATATGTCTTGTTGATTGTTAAACCCTTATAAAACTGGAACATGGTAAACCACATTATCCCAAACTGTGGTCGGCTCTTTGTTGATTGTTAAACCCCTATAAAGAGCAATTGAGTAGAAATAAGAAGTATGTTTGATGTTATGAATAAAAAGCTCCTCGCTTTCTGGGTACGTGTGATTTTATGTTGCTATTCCACATTTACAAGCATTTGATTCTTTGATCATCGTGGCTCCTTCACCAAACATCTCACTTTTTAACATGAGGTTGAAATCTAGAACAAAACGCCGTTAGGAGGTCTTATTGCTTTAGTACCATCTTCTCTTGCAATGTTTTGGTGGCTGGTGTACGAGGCCAGAGGACGTGGTTGGTGCTGTTACCAGATGAGCTGCGCTTAGCCAAGTTAGCATACCTTTGTTTCGTGTACATTTGCACAGAGCTTTCATGTTGGGAATGTGGCTCATAACTTAAGATGTCGAGGTAAAGAAACAGGTCGGGTATCAGAAGATTTCGCTAGGTGCAAGCCCCTTTTGTTATCAGGGTTACGGTATTGAATTAAAATATCTAAGCTGCAAAAAAAACTCGGATACAGCTGCTTATGAGAAAGACTTACATGGAACATGCTCATTGCAATGTGGCGTTCCGAGCCAATCATACACCGTCAAATGTAAGTTTTTCTCCACATGACATATGACAATGTATTATTGGATCGAAACGCTGCTACGGTAACAACTAACTCCTTATAAGTTGCTCTCCTACGGCGGAAACTCACAAAGGATGGCCACCCTGGACTGTCTTCACATCACAGCAAAATAAAAAGACCTATAAAATACTTTTAAAACGCATACTAGTTTTATGGCATGTGTTTCTTCATTTCATATTATTTTAAAGAGAAGACGGGCAGAGGAAGATGAGAGAGCCAACAATGCCTGCCTTGGATGCCACTCCATTCCAAAATGCCCAACAGTAAAGTGACAAAACTGCCCTTATCAAAGGAAACGGAACCTCTCTAGATCCCTTCCATCAAATCCACCCTATCACCTAATCTGGGCTCTTGAAATTTGATCCAACGGCTAAAGTTATTATAAATTTTAAAAGGGCCCCTGATTGTAGCCGTTGAATCAATTTCAAGAGCCCGGATTGATTGATTTGGTGGATTTGGTGGAAGGGATCCGGAGATGATCCCTTTCCCTTATCAAAAGGCATCTTTTCTTGCAAGTACCATGTAATTGAAAAGGGTGTTACTTGTTAGGGTAAGAACGTCATTTGCAGTTGAAGACATTGGACAAGCTTTTGTTGTTAAACAGCAGAGGTTCTGTTTGTGCAGCTGTATAGGAAATGAATAACTTGGAAGACATAGGAAAACAAAGAGAACAAACAGCTGAAAAGAACAAAGAGAAAAAGAAGAAGCTCAGAATCAAAGTTACGTTATTAAAAATGTTGATTCTAATCAGGTCTCTCATCACGTTTCCGCAATGCTGCTCAGAAACCAAATCCTTGCCTCTAACCCTGATCTAGCCATGCAAGCAAGGTTTGCTAAATATTCCCCTTGTTATACGATCTATTTGGTCTTAAACCAGTTGGATTCAGAAGACGAAGGCGAGCAAATTATTCCTTCAATATAGATTTGCAATTGTACATACATTCACTTCTCTTGTCGTGCTTTGTCTGTATATCGTGATGGTGATCTTTCATCGTTGTTTTCCCTCCGTTGTTGGCATCCGCACAAAGTGCTCCGTTGCTGCATCAGATGGTAGGATTCACGAAAACCCTTCCCTCAAGCTTCATTCTACCACTCTTCCTCCGAGCTTCTTGATATCCAAGTCACACCAGCCCGAGACTCCAACTTTGTTGTTTCCTCCGGCCAATCAGGTTTAATTCAATTCCTGCTTAAATCATGCCAATGATGCATAAACTCTCAAGTTGATTTAATTACCTCTAACGGAAATGCTAGTTTGCGTATAGGATATTATCTTTAATCAATTCTTGTTCACAATACGGTTAGATGATTCATGAGCATCGGTTAGATTACGTATGTGTACATTTATTCATGTCAGAGTGTGGCAGCTGTTGTGTTCGGGGATGGGCACGAGTCACAACTTTACCCGCTGACAAAGAGAAGATCAGAAGGGGCGATACCTATTGCAGCAAATTACAGGCTCATTGATTCAGTTGTGAGCAACTGCATTAGCAGCAACATAAGCCACATATATGCTCTCACACAGGTTAACTCTACTTCTCTCAATTCCCACCTTTCCAGAGCTTACTCTGGAGTTGGTCTTGGGAATGAGGGCTTTGTTCAGGTCATTGCCGCGTATCAGAGCCCCGGCAATAACAGATGGTTTCAGGTCTGAAATCTCTCGTGTACTGAAAATAATCCTGACTTCTATTACTTCGGTAGTTACAGTTCAGAGTCTTGAAATTTTAGTAACTTGATATTAGGGAACTGCTGATGCTGTGAGAAGATGTCTGTGGGTGCTGGAAAAGTATCCCGTGACTGAGTTTTTGGTCCTTCCCGGTCACCATCTCTACACAATGGACTACCAGAAACTCATCATGTCCCACCGAGACAATGGCGCTGACATTACCATTGCTACATCTGTTGCCACGAGACTTCATGATCCGGGATTTGGCTTTCTAAATGTGAATTCTGAAAATCAAGTTACAGATTTCAGACTGAATTTGGAGGGAAAGTCAGTTAATGTTGCTTCGGTAAGTACTATTCAACAGATTCTTTTTTGTTTTTTTGTCTTCCACAAATGTCTGTTCATATGGTATGATTTCCGGTGTTTTCTGAGGCAGCATAAAACTGATTTTTCAGGCCAAAAGCTCAAGAAAATCCAACGGTACGGCTCAAAGTAGTACGGCAAGTATGGGAATTTATCTCATCAACAGATGTGTAATGAAAAGGCTTCTGGAAGAACATTTTCCAAAGGGAAATGACTTCACAAGTGAAGTAATTCCGGGTGCCATATCTTTCGGAATGAAGGTCATACCTGCATACATAGTGTAATATGTATTTATTTTTCTCTTGTCGTATTACTTTCAGAGTGCTAATTCAAGCACAGTACTGCGCTTTTTGTGCGAGGGGTCAGGTTCAAGCTTATGCATTTGACGGATATTGGGAGGACATGAAGAATATTAAAGCATTCTACGAAGCAAATATGCAAAGCACAAAGGATGCAGACGTAGGATATAAGTCAGTAACTTGATCTCATACATATAACATTTAACACTCACACACACATAATGTGCGGGGAAAGGCTGAAAGCTGATTTGGAGCGCTCAGTCCTCAATGTCATTGACTAACACACAAACTTGGTGGTTGCATATATATAGCGCAGCTTCTACGACAGAGAAAGTCCGGTCTACACATTACCTCGGCGTCTGCCTCCAACTCAAATAACAGGCGCTGTAATTACAAACAGTGTAATTGGAGATGGTTGCATCCTCAATGTAAGCAGAGCATTGTTCTTGTAGGATTTTGAATTCTTTCTTCAAATTTTATCGGTTGGATGTCTCCGAAAAACTAGTACATACTCAACTGATGTAAACTGAATGCATGGGGGTTTTGGACTTGTACAAGAGTAGGGATGCAGGATCAAAGGCGCAGTAATTGGTATGAGGACGAGAATCGGAAATGGGGCTATAGTCGAGGATTCAGTCATCATGGGTTCAACCACGTATCAAGTAAGGACTAAGGATCCGTCCCCTTGACCTTTGTTGTTTGTTGCCTTTCTTTTTTCTCTATGTTATTTTATACTGACAGTGAGAGTGAGAGTCGCAGACAGAAGATGGAGGGAAGAGGAAAGGCATGGCGGGTACGATCCCCGTGATGGGAATTGGCGAAGATACTCAAGTAAGGAAGGCTATTATCGACAAGAATGCAAGAATTGGCAACAATGTTATGGTATGTATGTATGTATGTAAGGATATATACTACTATTTTCCGTTATCCTCAACAACAACAACAACAAAGCCTTGTTCCACTAGGTGGAGTTTGTTGTATGAATCTCAGAACGCTCGCTCGGTTTTTCATTATCTTCAATTTAATGAAATAGCATGAGTGGGGTTTTGATGATAATGTTGTGGACTAATGGCTGTGTGTGCTTGGTGCAGATCATCAATAAAGATAATGTGAAAGAAGCGGACAGAGAAAGTGATGGATATGTTATTCGTGACGGAATACTAGTCCTCCTTCCTAGTGCAGTAATTCCGGATGGCACCATTCTCTGATCATTCATTCATTTCATTTGCATTTTGATTGTTTTAGTTTTACAACCCCAGTCAGTCTCCAGCTAATCAGATGAAATAAAAAGGATAAAAAGGGAAGTTGGAATATCTTTGCTGAGCCTTCCCTTCCCTTCAATTGAATTTATTTTTAGAAAACTAATGAAAATTGTTTGAAAACTTCAAGTTTTAATCAAAATGATATAAATGTATTGGAAATGAATAGTACCATAAGTGATTTTTAAGAGTAAAAATATTATTTTCGTTAAAAGTGAACAATATCATGAATGTTTTGTTAAAACTTCCTTTATTTTTGGGTTGAATTTGAAGCAAAAGACACATAACCCATGTCCTATCCAATTCCAACAATATAACAACCAGAAAAAAATGTAAATGACATTTTATTACAATGACAGAAAAACACTGATTCTTATGCCATTTGATACAAGTTTGGTTTCCACCTATCTCTTTTTCCTTAATAACTAACAATTTAATCTACTAACGATATCGTTTATAAAAATTAAAAAAAACAAAAATGAAAAGTAACTAATTTACTTACCTACCTTATTTGGCCAAATTAATTACCAAACAGATTAACGGAGATTAGGCGTGAGTCCCGCGTACAGTTTAATGAGGTGGGACCTCTTCCATCTCTATCTATACAACACGGACGGTACACGTCGCCCGGCTTCCTGATAAATAATCATAAAAATAAACATTAATTCATATATTTGACAACACAATTTCAAAAAATGATTAATGCGATCAGCCGGCCAAAAATGTAAAGAGATTGTCCACTGCTTTTCAAGTTAGCAATTCTACTTGTACCTGGATTGAATTTTCTTTGAATCTCTGCTGCTGCTGCTGCTGCTGCTTGAATTGAGGAGGAACTTCCAGTAACAGGTAAGTATTTCGATCATTGAACTTTAGATCTCGTCCCATCACATCTCTGATGATTGACCTCTCTGTTTGATTTAGTGTGTCGAAAAGAACCATATAAGGGAATCGATTGCAAATTTATCTATGTTTATTAATTTATAGGGGATTCCATGGCGTCGTCTGATGATAAGCCGGACATTGTGGATCGGGGCGCTAAGGAGAAGAAAGATCACAAGAAGGAGGAGGGGGAGGAGGAGGGTGGATTTATTGACAAGGTGAAGGATTTCATCCATGACATTGGGGAGAAGATCGAGGGTGCCATTGGGTTCGGCAAGCCAACCGCCGATGTTACTGCCGTTCACATCCCCAGCATCAATCTCGAAAAGGCCGAGATCGTGGTTGATGTGCTCATCAAGAACCCTAATCCGGTTCCCATCCCTCTCATCGACATTAACTACTTGATCGAAAGTGATGGGAGGAAACTTGTCTCCGGGTTGATCCCCGATGCTGGGACAATCCACGCCCACGGGGAGGAGACTGTCAAAATTCCCGTCCACTTGGTGTACGATGACATCAAGAGCACCTACCATGACATCAAGCCTGGAAGCATCATTCCGTACAGGGTCAAGGTCGATCTCATTGTGGATGTCCCTGTCATCGGCAGAATCACTATCCCCCTCGAGAAAACTGGAGAAATCCCCATCCCTTACAAGCCTGATGTCGACGTTGAAAAGATCAGGTTTCAAACCTTCTCCTTTGAGGAAACTGTTGCGGTCCTCCATTTGAAGCTGGAGAACATGAATGACTTTGACTTAGGCCTCAATGCTCTCGACTACGAGATTTGGCTGTGTGATGAGAGCATTGGGGGTGCAGAGCTCGCCAAGTCTGCCAATCTTACTAAAAAGGGCATTACTTATGTCGACTGTTCCCATTACCTTCAGGCCTAAGGATTTCGGGTCTGCGCTCTGGGATATGATTCGGGGAAAGGGTACCGGCTACAGCATCAAAGGGAATATCAATGTGGACACGCCCTTTGGAGCCATGAAGTTGCCCATTGTCAAGGAGGGTGGTACTACACGCATCAAGAAGAACAAGGAAGATGGCGGTGATGATGATGATGATGAGGTAATGTGTATATATGGAAACTATGTGTGCATTCTGCATGATTCTCATAAATCTCCAAGAGTAGATAGTGGATCATTTGTAGTTGATATGATATCTCTTTGATCCGTTATATATATCAAAAACCTTGAAACAGGGATCAACTATTAGACTATGTGTTAAATTGTTAACGTATGTCGCCACCATGGCCCATCCGTAAACAGTTAATCATTTACCGTATGAATATGATGGAACAAATTGAAAAAGAGGACATAAATGAATGATCAACTATAAGTATGCTTTGTGTATGGTGTGTGGTGTATACTAACTATGAATGATAATGTACCTTTTCCCTGACTTACCACTGGATGGAATGTTTGCAACTTCCCCTTAGCAAGCATCGGAATTGTATTCGTTTATGTACAGATTACAACGTTGAGCTTTCACTTGTTTTGCCCACATATGCTCTGCAGTTGTAAATAAAACTCATGGTTGCATTGCGTATTAACTTGTATGCATACGTGCTCAATAAGTGTGACTATGTTTTGTTTGTTATCGGGTGAACGGAGATCACAATGCTTTATCATAAATCCATGATTCATTGCCTTCTTGTGGTTATAGCTAACTTTGAAATGTTGTGTTTGCAGGATTAGAGAGGGATGTTGGGTTGGGTTGACAAGCGAAACTAGTAGTTGTTGTCGTCTGTTTATCTGTACTGGTGTTTTGGAATAATAGATGAATATTGAGGCATTATTTCTGGTGGTAAGTTATGCTGTTTTGGAGGAGAAATTGGTGTGATTGCTGTGGTTGGATGGATCATGGAAGGGAAAGGTGTTACAGTTGGTGTGTTATTGTAATAGCCTAATGGATGTTGCAGTTTTTGCTTTGGGGTAATCAAGTGATTGGAGTTTTCAGTGATTGTGAAAGGGATTATGATGATAATATGATTATTAATGTTTAAAATCTGTATCTTTCTTACTTACCTTATCTATATTATGATTATTAATTATTATGGTTGCTGTTTAAGTTGTGGGTTGCTGTTTAAATCGATTTCTTATTATTTAGATGGATGGATTGTTGGTGGTTCATGATGGATTTGGATCCCATCCGGATTCAAATTATGAGGATTCTAGGGATTATCATATATTAGTCATTCATTGTACATTGTGCGATCATAAATTATTTAATTTTTTTATTTAAAATTAAACACAAATAGTACCTGACGATAATTGATTTCACGATGAATGATGAACGATTAGAATATGGAGATCTTTAAGATTCCTGGATCCAGAGGGATCCTCTTCCGTTCAGAATGTTGTCTCATCGTCTGGATTCTGGTATACAGACAACTTGTTTGTAGCACATGAACATATTTGAGATAGTATTATGATGACAGAGTCAAATCAACATTGAGTAGGAACTTAGAATGAGGGAATGCGGTAGATGATAGAGTCAAATCAACATTGAGTAGGAGATAGAGTCAAATCAACATTGAGTAGGAACTTAGAATGACGGAATGCGGTAGTAATAAGGCATTTTAACCGTTTTTGAAATTGACATATTTCTTCACTTTAGTTATTAAGATTTGAAATCAATAGAAGTAGCATTTGAGTTTATTCATCATCAATTATTTTTGTTCTTCTGGGAAAAACTCTGTTGAATAAGGACCAATGGGCCAAAATTGAGAGTATTTTTGTTATTTTCTTTCTTTGTTTAACTAAATTTCTTATGGGATGATCAAAATGATTGATGATAAAAAATTACTTTTACCGATTTTAAATTTGAAAATTTTATTTGAACTCATATAACCTATTTCTACACCCAACTTAAACTTTAAATATGAAATGTTTTTTTTACCTTATTGCATTATTACCATTAAGTACAAGATGAAATTAATAATAAAATGAAATTTATCAATAAACCCACACCCAAATTAAACCTTACCATCATGTAATGTTTATCCTATGTTGGCTAAATCCCTACGCTGATCCTACATTGAAATGCTTTTTTTTTTTTTCGTTTGATTTCTATTTATTATAGAATATAGAGTTGAGAAGATGAGTTTTTGAGTTTCAATTTACGGCCATCAACACTGAAAGTTGAGAAGATTGGTTTGGGGGGTTTGGGTTTCGCTATGTAGGTGGTGGTGAAGCCTTACCTTGGACTTAAGACTAGGTTCTTGGTTGAATATTTCAAAGGAAAAAAAGTGGTTTCCCAACTTGAGAATGACATGAGTGTTCCTGACGATAGGTCACCTTTAAGTATAACACATCATCTCCACAGTAGATGACACGCCCGACCCTGATATTCACCAAACAATAGGGTAAGCACGTGCTAGCCGACACCCGAAAGTGACGAAGCCGTATTAGGATGCATGAGAACTAAGAACAATTAACCGACATAAATAAAACTTTTAAATTTAATTATAATGAATATGTATTTGTGGAATGTGTTCATAGCATACAACTAAATCGAGACACTAAAAAGGAATAATATAAAATTGAATGAACAAGGAGATGGATCCTACACCGAGAGGACACGAAGATGCAGATATGAAAGTACCTTGACGCCGAGATTGTACGCCTCGAATCTAAGTCTTGAAGGGGCGCAAAACAAAACATGAGTGAACCAAGTTTATAAATAAGTAATACTGAAACAATTATTCATCAACGTATTAACCCCCAAAGTTTATGAAAACTCAATAGTATAATATGTAATAGGTTTTTTAAAAACCCTAGCATGCCATAAACCTTTGCATAAAACATATATCGTATATAATATGCTTAGTAGTGTTATCATAATCGACCGAAGCCACTACATCACCCGACCAATGCCAAATATAAATATCTTCAGACAGAAGCCATCTACAAATGCCTAGCCGAAGCCATCTAAAAACGCCCAGCTGAAGCCAAATAAAAATATCTTCTGACTGAAGTCATATATAAGTATTTTCTAGCCGAAGCCACCTATAAACGCCCAGTCGAAGCCAAAAATAAATATCTTCCAATTGAAGCCACCAACCTACGCCCACCCCGAAGCCAAATATAAATATCTTCTGGCCGAAGCCACCAACCTACACCCAGCCGAAGCCATATATATATATATATATCATTCGCCCGTATGCAAGACTATTCACCCGTAGGCAAGACCATTCACTCATAGGTAGTATCATTGAATAATCACTAAGCAAGCACATAAGAACATTAACATAATATTTCTAATATATATATATATATATATATATATATATATATATATCTCTCAAATCGGAGCTCAATAACTAAAACGTCATATCATAAAACCACGTTCATAAGTAGGTATATAGTCATCAATCATATATACCACAAAGAACATAAAGCCGATAAAGCATGATAATATAACATAAAGTGTAAATCCAATTTACTCGTAAACATTTCATAAAACGTAACAATTAAACCATGTTTTTCATGTATGCATTTTTATAGTAAAATCATGCATTTTAGAAGGGTCCACTCACAACTATTTCGCCATTGAAGAGCCATGCAAACAAGAAAGAATGGAAACAGCATGCACAATTGCACCTAAGCACATAAAGGTACCAATTAATAAAACTATACTAAAACGGTTGAATTTTGGGAAACGGACATAAAAAAACATAAGGGGGACCCCGGGTACCCCCATGTGTTGCCACGAGGTGGCAGCTCGAATGGCCACGCGTTGATTTGGGTGGTCAGAAAGTTAGCCAGAAAAGTTAGTCGGCGCCGCTGTGGACGACGCAGAGCACAATACCTTCGGTGAAGGCACGTGTGCTCCACACGCAGGCCAAGGTAGACGCTCATGCGCGCCCACACACGACTTGGGTTCTGGGTTAGCCAAGAGCTTGGGTTGGGCCGCAAGGTCGGGGCCGGGCAACAAGTTATGGGCTAAAGTTTATGGCGGGTTACATGGCCTAAAGGATCTGGGTTGGGGTTATCGGGTCGGGTCGATCCGGTTTCAGGCCAAGGTTTGGCTGGTTTCTAGGCAACATTTCAAACGCTCATAACTTCTTCGATACTCAACCAAATTAAGTAATTCAAAAACCAAAGTTGTAATACACAATGAGATGAAGAGAATGGCACATTGCATGACGGCTAACTCGCCGTGGTTTGGCCGAAAAAACGCCTCGAAAGTGGCGGTGCTCGTAGGAAAACTAGGAAAAGCTACTTAAAGCTATTTTTTGTTATTAACACGTATGTACAACTTAAAACAAGTTTCGATCTAACCTTAAAACACATCCCATGGGTTTGAGTGAACTTACCAACGTCGAAAAAGTCACAAAACACGTCAGAGTCCGACAGGGAAGACGGTGAATAGTGACTCTGTCATTTTTGGGGTTCCACAAAGGTTTACTTGGGTTTCTCGAGATCCCTACGTCTAGTGGGAAGGGTTGTTGTTGTTGTTGTTAAGCTTGGGGATGAGGAGGAGCATGCGTTGCAGATGAGAGAGAGGGTTCGAGGAGTGCTTGAGAGAAAGAAAGAAAGTGATGGGGAGAGAGAGAGCGAGAGAGAGTTTCACACGGGAAGGAGGAAGGAGAAAGCCAAGTGGGCCAAGGAACAAAATCAAGGGTGTGCCCCCTTGGGCACACCAATTAAGACCAAAAGCAATTTTAAAATAAATATCCCAAACTTAGTAAAATTACAAAAATGCCCTTTCATTTCGTAAATTCCAAGATGGGTAGAGCTTGGCAAGCTCATCCTCCACCGCTATGGCCACACAAATTGTCCATCAACATTCTCTACACCTATGGCAAGCTTTGTCAATACCCCTAGCATTCCTGCCTAACTGCCTGTTGCCGAATATCACAATATCTGCATAGAAAGAAAAGTTATTATGAGTTTATTTTCTATGGTGTTTTGAGTATAGACATCCGAAAGCATGTACTTTATGCTTATGCAAATACAATCACAGGGACATGGATATCAAGAAAGTATATAGAAGATTCATAAACAAGTAGAAACTTCACCACATTATTCAATTGGGATTTTATTTTTTAAATGGGTCTAAAGATAAATTCACATTTTGAATTGGGTTTGTAATGGATAATTTAAGTATAAAATTGGGTTTAAATAGATATTAATTCTTTCATTAAAAATAATATAAGTGTAGAGAATAAGTTAAATGTAGAACGAGATTATGTGAAATCAAATAAAATTTTCCTTTTAAATTTTCAAAAGGAGTTATGTAAATTTCAAAAATAACTTTGACTACAAATCCTAGTAATAATTCGTTAGTTCTATTCACAGTCCGACAGTCCCATCGCACCCCCTAACTTATGCTATATATCTTTGATTCATGCACTTGCCTACCACCATTGGTCCTCGTGTTTTTTATTTTTTTAATTTTTTTTGTTATGGTAGTGGTCGGTGTTGTGAATTTGATAATTTCCTTGACTTGCTAATTTGCTGCTGCTAGTGGTGCGGTGGAGAACGAATGGGGTTGCCGTGCCGGAGTGGATGGAGAGCGCGGAAAGTGCAAATAATTCAATCTTTTCAAAATTCGAATATTTAAGGGAAAAAAAAAAACAGACAAGACTCAGAGGAGGGCATGGCAAAACCAATAGGATCTTTTTCGGATTTTTTTTTTGTGAGGATCTTGGAATTTGGGAATTGTTTCTGTTCATCGTATATCGTACGATTAGTTTTTGTAAAGTACTGGTTGTGTTTAATTTTAAATAAATATATTTAAAATAATTTCTGACCGCACAATGTACGATGAACAGACATGATTCATAAATTCCTAGGATCCTCACAAAGAGGATCCGAATTCATGGCAAAAAGGCTAAGAAAAGGGTTGTATTGTACCTGTACGAGGAAGGAAATCTATCTCTTATAGAGGAGAAATTTTTCCAGAACTCTGGAATTCAAGCAAATACTCTACGTTTAATAAATAAGATAGAGAAATACGAAAAAAATATATTTTCTTCATTTATATTATGATATGTGGAGCATCCATGGAAAACCCGGTCTTAGAAAAATTTCCTTTCAAATAGATTCTCAAGTATGGGATAGGATGTCTAGTGGTGCAATGTAATACAATGCTATGCTTGAAGGTTGCCTATATGACACACAATGTTTACAGCAACAATTGAGGTTAGTAGAATTTTTATTTTTTTTGCTACCTGTGATTGTAATAAGAAAGCATAATTAGTGGCTTCTTTTGTTTCGAGTGAGGATTGTCTTCATAGATGAGATCGTTTGAAACCAAAATGGTTGTTCCGTATTTTGACCTTTGATGAACTCGCTTCCATTTGAATTTATTTAAAACTTCATCCTTGGAAAAAAAAAAAATGGGGATGGGATGCGATGGGATCATGGGAATTACACAATTACACAATTCAGGGAAAGAAAATTGCATTACATTTTCAAATTACACGTTGTATAATATTTAATTAATTAATTGTTAGTTGGATAAAAGATGCATTGAGTTGGGTAGTGAAGGTCCACATCACACATGCATGCCCATATGCCATCATCATGATTCATGCGTATTCTGCTGGCTTGGCTGCATATCAAATCTATCTCCCACTATTACACACATGCATACACTCGGACGGTGTCTAGGATTAGACTAGGATTAGATTAATTAGTTACTTACCAAATTCATTAGCAGATTGAATAAAAAATCAGGCCTAATTGGATAAAGAATCATGTAATAATAGAGAAGTTAAAAGGTCGTTCTTGTGGTAAAAAAAATATAGGATTTAAACCGTTGTGGTAAACTCCATTAGAATTTAAGCATAAAAACTAAATTTTCATTGATTCTCCGTTAGCCCCGTTGGCCATGGTTCCACCCTCAACAACTAAGCATCCTCTGCGGGCCCCAGTTGCGAAGCAGCCAGCGAATTTGGATCCTCGCTGGATCCTCTTCATGAGGATCCCGATGATTTGTGAATTATATCCGTTCATCATATATCGTGCGGTCAGAAATCATTTTAAATATTTTTATTTAAAATTAAATACAAACAGTACCTAACAAAAACTAATTGCACGATGTACGATAAACGTACACGATTTACAAATCCCCATGATCATCACCAAAAAAATCCAAAGTGGGCAGCCAACCATATCTTTTTTGAAATTCTGAGTTGTATTTCTAGAAGAAAACTGTAAAAAACTCATTCTATACTCCTCACAAGTTGTATTTTTCTTTCCCAAAGTAGAAAATTTGGAGTGTAGAATGAGATTTTTGGAGTGCCAATAACAATTTTCTTTTTTAATAGATAAAAAATTGACGAATTTATCAAATCAGTGCTGGAAGACTTTGATTCATTGTTGCTCTCATATACGATTCTTGGAATTCAAGCTTGTTCTTGGGATTGAGCTACTAAGCTTTTGGAAGAACATTGTTGAGAAACTGGTTGAAGAGGTTGCACTACGTAACCCCTTTACTTAAAAAAAAAAGAAGCAGTTTAACGGAGAAAATCATGAAAATTTTGATTTTGAACTTAATTCCCAACGGATTTTACTACAGGAGTTTAAATTTGAATTTTTTTTTTTTATCACATGGGCTATTTTCGGAATATATATCACCACAAGATTCATTTATCCAATTAGGCCGAAAAATAAATGTCAAACTTCAAATTTTGTCGAAGTTAGAAGAGATCAATTTTTTACATGACTAATTCGTCTTTTTCTATCTTCAACTTTGATAACTTTGAAATTTCAATAGACATGTTTTAAAAAACTTAGGAAAACTAATAAAAAGTAAAAAAAACCTTTAGTTTTAATATAAAAAAAAAGACAAATAAAATGTAGTGAATAGTACCAGAAAAAAGTAAAAATATAATTTTTTGTTAAAAATGAACAGCAGCAGAAATGTAAACTTCTAATTAAATACACGTTGAATCTAATGAGTTATTGTGACATCCCACATCGCCCAGGGGAGTGATCCTTATATGTATATTCCCATCCCTACCTAGCACGAGGCCTATGTAAACTTCTAATTAAATACACGTTGAATCTAATGAGTTATTGTGACATCCCATATCGCCCAGGGGAGTGATCCTTATATGTATATTCTCATCCCTACCTAGCACGAGGCCTTTTGGGAGCTCACTGGCTTCGGGTTCCGTAGGAACTCCGAAGTTAAGCGAGAAGAGGGCTTGAGTACTCCCATGATGGGTGATCCACTGGGAAGTTGCTCGTGAGTTCCCAAAAACAAAACTGTGAGGGAATGGTAAGCCCAAAGCGGACAATATCGTGCTACGGTGATAGAGCGGGCCCGGGAAGTGATCCGCCCCGGACTAGGATGTGACATATGGTATCAGAGCCTAACCCTGGTCGCGTGTGTGCCGACGAGGACGTCGGGCCCCTAAGGGGGATGAATTGTGGCATCCCACATCGTCTAGGGGAGTGATCCTTATATGTATATTCTCATCCCTACCTAGCACGAGGTCTTTTGGGAGCTCACTGGCTTCGGGTTCCATAGGAACTTCGAAGTTAAGCGAGAAGAGGGCTTGAGCACTCCCATGATGAGTGACCCACTGGAAAGTTGCTCGTGAGTTCTTAAAAACAAAACCGTGAGGGAATGGTAAGCCCAAAGCGGACAATATCGTGCTACGGTGATGGAGCGGGTACGAGAAGTGATCCGCCCCGACCCAGGATGTGACAGTTATCCACAACTATTAACACCAATTGAGCCATAGAAGTAGAATGCATTGCACAGTTGGCATTTCTCATGTCCGCTTGATGCCACTGCATACTTGTCCATTTTTTTAACTCTAATGAACATAACAAATGTTCATTTTTGAAAAAGTTAGGTAGTTATTTCGAATGCTTTAAAAGGTAGAATCAATTTCAACTCACCTCTAAAAATTAGGTAGTTACATAAACGTCATCCTTTATTTATTTATTTATGGGCTTCCATTTATGGTTTTCATTTTTCTTAAATTTTCTTTAATTTGTTGTAAACTTCTAGTTTAAGTGTGATTGTGCAAATTCTAAATTATATTTGATTTTAGTTATTATTTTCTATATGGACTTGTATTCCTTGAAGGAGAAAAATTTCTTCTCTCTTATTATTATAAATAAAAACACTACGCAAATGAATAATACATATTCATCTACACAATCTTACAAATACAATTCTCCACTGTGCCGCCGGCCCCTATTCTTGTTTTGTTCTCATTTTTGCGTTGTTTGGATTTTGACTTTTAAGAAAAGAGGGTATTACTTGTTTTGCAATCAACCAAGTGGATTTTTGTCCCATTATATATTATTCGAATCGAGCCATGTTAAAAGTAGAACGACTTGCTGATTAACATTGTTATGCTGTGGGCTGTCTCCGTGGGTTTTGTTAATTTTGAGATGGTTTCGTTTCGTCTGCCCAAAACAAAACTAGAATAATAAAATTAATTAATTAATTAATATTGATTGGATCTCTAATCACTTGGATAACGGACGGACGGACGGACGGACGGACGGACGGACAAATCAACTTTATAAAAGTTTCTTGAGAACGAATTTGAATCTTTAATCATTCGTTTCATTTAATCGATTGAGGAGGATTATCTCTTATTCTATTCTCATCTTCTTTCATTCTCTCTTTTATATATTATTTTTTATTTTATTATCTCTATAAAAAAAATCAATATAAGATATTGACGTTGTTAAATCGTAACCGTTCAAATAGGAGAGGAGGGAATGAGAGAAAGATTAGGAAATGAGAGAATCCTCCACCTTAATCGACATGTTCGGATTTTGATTTGATGATCAGATGAAATATGTGATGTCTGATTGACTTAAAAAAAGAGAATATCATGGGGACGAAGGGGTACACTGAGGCCATCTCCAACCGAGAGCTGGCCAGAGGGCTCGTTTTAGCCCTCTGGCCCTCCAAATACTTCAATGAACAGTACATGGTCATATTTGCCTCTGTCTCCAACTAAGGGCAAAAGGGCCATAGGGCTCGTTTTAGCCCTGTCACAAAAAAATCCGTCTCCAATCGAGGGCTAAACATAATTATTATTTAAATTTAAAAATTACAACAACTTAAATTTAAAAACTACAACGATAACTAGTCCAAAAAACTAAAAAAATTAGAACTTATATTTAATGAATGGTTTGGGTATTTATAGAAAAAAAATAGAATTTTTAAGAATTAAAAAAAAAAAGTTGGCCCAAAAAACCAAAAAATAATAATAATAATTTGAATACAACGCTAGCAACCTTGGAGCTCACTGGCTTCGAGTTCCGTAGGAACTCCGAAGTTAAGCGAGAAAGGGGCTAAAGCAATCCCATGAAGTTAAGCGAGAAAGGGGCTAGAGCAATCCCATGATGGGTGACCCACTGGGAAGTTGCTCGTGAGTTCCCAAAAACAAAACCGTGAGGGAATGGTAAGCCCAAAGCGGACAATATCGTGCTAGGGTAGAGGAGCGAGCCCGGGAAGTGGTTCGCCCCGGGCCGGGATGTGACAATTTGGTATCAGAGCCTAACCTTGGTCTTGATGTGCCGACGAGGACGTCGGGCCCCTAAGGGGGGTGGATTGTGACATCCCACATCGCCCATGGATGATCCTTAAATGTATATTCCCATCCCTACCTAGCACGAGGCCTTTTGGGAGCTCACTGGCTTCGGGTTCCGTAGGAACTCCGAAGTTAAGCGAGAAAGGGGCTAGAGCAATCCCATGATGGGTGACCCACTGGGAAGTTGCTCATGAGTTCCCAAAAACATCGACATGATTGCTCTATTTTCTAGCTAGCCCCCGGCTAGCTGGCTGGCAACCAACTCTCCAGCACTCTAGCCCTCTCCGATTCGTGGGGCCCTCTTAAATTCCACAGCCCTCTGGCCTAGCCCTCGGTTGGAGACGGTTTTTGGGTCATTTTCAGTCCTCTGGACCATTCGTTTGGAGATGGCCTGACTGGATCCAATGCAATTGCAATTGCAATTTTCAAATGTAACCAAGACTCCAGACTTTCGTAACTAGTATTTCTATTTAATGATGTTCATCTTTACTTATAAGTGAGAAGTTTTAATTTCAATTCTCGTTAAAAGTAGATTTGAATCACATTATTGCTAGCTTATTGTGAGACTTAACTTACTTCTCCTACCTTTTCAAAATTGATAATATCGTTGGTTAAAAAAATAAACAAAAAATATATAATAAAAAAAAAGGACTGGAGGCATCCATACAGGGAATGGAATGATTCCATACTTCACCAGTTTTGCTATTTGCAGGGAAAATGAACAAGTGTTGGTTTGAAAATACTTTTCAAAAATAATATTTTTGATGAAAATGTTTTTAAAATTAATTTTTAATAAAAATGTAAGTAAATCATAAATAAATATTTGAAGTGTTTTCGACAAAAAATGGATAACTCATGGTTTTTGTAAAAAATAATTCGAGTCATTTTGAAACTCAAAAATACTTTTAATTATTTTAAAATTACTATTAAACGAGACCTTGAAGGAATACAGTCAACTCGTAGAATCATTTTCAGTCATTTAAAAATGTTTTTGAAGACCTTAACGGTTGACAAGACCCGGCTCATCCTCATCTAAAAGGGGTGAATTACATTGCAAGTTTTAAAAGTAGATGCGGAACGGGTTGGCCTTGTTTAAGAAAGAGAAGGAAAGAGAGAGAGAGAGAGAGGAATAGAGGGGGAAGGCCAGGGGTGAAGCACCTCGGGAACCCAGCCTGATTTTCCAAAACTAGCAACTTGCATGTCAGCAAAGAGTGGCCCACTTGTCCATGCGTACAGTCCAATTCACTGAACCAAACCCTCTCTCTCTCTCTCTCTCTCTCTCTCTCTCTAGAAAATCATACAACAAAGCAACAAACATTAGGAATGGGCAAGGGAAAATAAAACTAAAAGGGGCGAATAAGGATAGCAGCAAGGAAAGGGCAAGGGATACAGAGAATTGAATACCGAGAGGCACCAACATATACAGATGCAGTGCATCAAAATTCATTTCGTTTCCTTGAGCAGCTTTATCCTTTTCTTTTTATTCTAACACCAACACCCCAAGACATTGTTCATCCAGTCCAACCCAACCCAACCCATCCCAACCCGATCCAACCGACCCATCTTCTTCTTATTTTAATTTCTGAAACTCAACAACTCTGTTTCTTGCTGCTGCTGCTGCTATTTGTATGAAGCTTAATTTGATTTCGTTTCCGCATGCATGCCCTCAGCCTTTCTAATTTATGTTCTTCATTTCCCTCTTTCATTCATCCACTCTGATCAGAAGTAAGCGATTTCATTGTTTGCCTTTCTTTTTCGGAGGGGAGGGGAAATGATTGATTGATTGATTGATTGATTGATTCTTGTTACTAAGCGTGTTATTGGATTTTGATTTTGATTTCGAATTGAGATTCTTCTCTTCTGTATTCTGTTGGATTATTAGGGACGACGTCTCATGATTTATCGGTTTCTTTGTTTCTTTGTGCATTGCCTTGCATTCAAAGACTTGAAGGAATGATCAAACTAATCCCATCCTCTCTTTTTTTCTTGCCATTTCCAGCAGTATCTCAAGTAAAGGCTGAGCGTGTTATTGTCCAAGTTGAGATCCTCCGGCACAGCACGAAGCGAGCGAACCAGATCGACGGAATTGTCGCCTGCATTCTGCATTGCATTGCATTGCTTGCCTCTCGTTGACATTACAGTTGGAAGAGATTTTAAGGAGATAATTAGGTCTGTTTGACAGATAATTTCCTTCTGTTCTGTGCTGTGATTTTATCTGCGGGGGACCAACCCATCGCTAAATGAATTTTGATGTTCCTGAAGCAGATCGCCCAAGACTAGTACTGCCACAGGGATTTATTCATTTGCCAGATCGCTCATCAACAAGTTGCGCCATGGAGGAGATGAAAACAAAAAAAGTTTCCGGTGCCCAAACCCTAGAGCCCTCCCAAGCGGATCAAGGGCCGAAGATAGAGTATTATCATCAGATTCAGAGACAAGGGAAGGCAATAGAATACCGGCGAACCCTATCTCACGGTAGAGGGAGTGGCATAAGACTGCTGCCGGCCAGCTACTTTAGCATGGAGTCGTTGCTTTTGCTTGTATGCCTCACGGCGACTCTGCTCATCCTTCCTTTGATGGTTCCGCCGCTACCTCCCCCGCCTTTCATGCTGATGTTGCTTCCCATTGGCATTCTGGGCGTGCTTATGATCTTGGCTTTCATGCCGTCGAATGTGAGGGATTTAACTTATACATACGTCTAGCTAAGTAAAATCGTTTGTCTCGAAGACTTAGGATCTTCACTGTCATCATACAATTTTTGTACTAAACTCAGCTGTTCAATACAAGAAACAACACTCGTTTTTATTTCTTTGTTCTTCTTGTTTAGCCGATCACTCAACGCAACTTTTCCAATTCCATCCTTACTGAATATTGAGGGCGAGCCTTCGCATAACGTAACACCAAGTTTGGATGAAGAAATTTAAGATTACTAAGGAATTTAAAAATGACGAAAATTGAAATGACGAGATTTTATTTTTTAGAATTTGTAAATTTTCTTGTTTGGTTAACCTCAAAGAACAATGGAATTGAATGCAGAATTTGTTATTTTTAAACTCTCAATCATAGAAATTGAGAAATGACACCTATTTACATGGAATTTGAACTTGGGATTTGGAGGTCCCAAATTCCAAGTTTTTTTCCATGCGGAAATTCTAAATTTCTATGCTTATGAATCCAAACAAGAGAATTGGTGCCTGTTAATTTATAAATTCTGACTTTTACCAAAATTCCATGTTTATTTCCCTTATCCAAACATAGTGTAAAGGTTTTATATTTGTGACCAAAAGTTCACAGCGTATGAGTCGTGAAAACTACCCTTTTGCAAAATAAAGATAGCGTAAGTAAAAACAACTTATTTTCAAAGCAAAGGTCTTCTGGAATATCACATGTGTACATTTCAATTGGGTTTGAATTACTTTCGATAAAGAATAATTATAATGTAGGGAAGGCGAACTAAGACTTGCAATTCAATTCAGTGTTTTTGTCTGTGGCTGGCCGGCCAGCTCTCTTATGGAATATCACATGGTTTCTTTGTCTTAAATGATAGAACAACAACATGCGCATTCAGAAATGCATGCGTCACGCAGACAGTACGCGAACTAAATTACAAGGCAACAACATATGACGGATTGAAAATTGACAAGCCTTGGCTTTGTCACCGACCCCATCTCTGAACTGTTGTTATAATCCATTACAAATTGATCAGACAGCCTCGGACAAGGGGAAACCAAGTCCCCGAATGTCTACGTGCAACATCTTGCTGCACAGTGCTAGGCAGATCGAGTGAAAAATGGAGGAAGATGATGCTCCAGAACAGCCAATAGCTCTTTGCACTGGCCCGCCCCTTCTAAGACTCCACCGCCAAGCCGGCTAACAGCTTCTACAAGCTGTCCTCTCAGCCTTTGTGACAACAAACAGCCACCCGCCCTCACGCACTCCCTATACAGTGGCAGGTAACCAATCGCTATCCCTAGAGGGGTTGGAAGATCTCTTAAGCAGATAGGAGATTCACCCCATTTTAAAATCCTCAAAATGTTAATGTAGTGTTCTTGTCCTTGTCTTATTCCATCCAAGAAAGCTTCCTGAGACCAGTGCACACGAAGAAAAGCCTTTAACTCGGGAGCTACACCCTCATCATCAGACAAAGCAATACTGTTGGCAACAGCATAAGTGGCTGCAGGATCACCTAAGAAGTCGGAATGGAGAAGAAATGCAACACCATCAAGAGAACCACCACTTCGTTCGCCAGCAGCCTTCACAATTTCAATGCTGAGTGCAGCAAGGACATGATGAGGAACATGAGGAAGGAGATAGGCAGCAACGTCAACTTGGCTGCTAGAAGTTGCAGCAGTGAGAGCAAGGCAGAGCTCCATGTCTCGGCAGCCCCTTTTCACAAACCACTCAACAACCTGCATACAGCCCCTCTCAGCAGCTCTCATTAGAGGGCCCAAGAAAGCTATCGCATTTCCCTCTTCGACAAGACATTCCATAGTACCAATCTTGCAGTAGTGAGAAGCAAAACCCAAAGCCAGGTCAACATCAACATCCAAACTGTTCCTTTGGGCAATCTACCAACACAAAACCAATATGCCAAACAAAAATGAGACAAAAGATGCCACACAAACCATATATCTTTTTTTCCGTACAACAACACAAACCATACATCATGAAAGCAAAACTTGGATCACGATCGCTTCTCACAATTCTTGTAGTGTATATACATAAGCCAATCATATCATCAAGTATGCATAACAGAATGAAAAATGTCAATGTCAGGCTGTCAGCAAAAATATTGATATTCCAGATTTACAGAAATATTAGTAAAAAGAGCAATGCTAGGAACAATACTTGGCATTTTGTGGGCCGAACTAGCGTCCATTGACTTTGTAAAAGTAAAATGGATAATCTGATTGCTAAGTGGAATTGACATTATACCCTCGTTGTTTTGTTTTCTCCAACTCTTTTTCTTCCTCTTCTTCCCCATAAGTTCTGAAGAAAGATTAAAGCTTTAAGCTTGAAATTTAATTCCCAGCAACACCAAATGCAACATGGGAAACAGCGGGAGTAGAGACTCCTACAGTTTCTACGGTGATGGAGCGTACCGGCCTCACTCAATTCAGGCATGCCCGCGTCCATGTCATGCAGGGGTGCACGGTGGCGGTGAGATGGGTAGGGAGTTGCCGCTGCAAATATGTACAGTCTGGGAGATTTTGGCCTGAGATGGTGCCCGAAGGGTCGGAGACTGGTGGTTTTGACAGGAACAGCGTCCCAGCGGCTGCCATTGCCTTTATTCTACTCCCCTCTGCTTCCCATTCCGGATTTGGTGTTGGATAAATTTTTCTTTGGGATTATCTTTCTTCAAGGCTTACTGACACTCCGATTAGAAGATACGATTACAAGACAGAGGTTCAAGGCCGAAGGGGTAGAGGAAGACCGAGGAAGACTTTGGAAGGGACTCTAAAAAAACACTTAAGAGTACTTGGATCTAATGGAAGACATGGCACAAAACCAAGCACAATGGCGTTCTAGGATTCATACAGCCGACCCCACGTAGTGGGAAAAGGCTTTGTTGTTGTTGTTGATTATTTTTCTTCAAATCTGGGAATGGTTTGGTCTTTTTTTCTCAGAAAACAGAAAACAAGGATTTGATTTGATTGAATGAAGAAGAATGAGGAGGAACAATAAGGGTATAAAAGTCAATTCCTTTTTTAGCAATCAGAAGGCCCATTTTACTTTCACAAAATCGTTGGCCACATGCCCCGCGCACAAAGACCGACTGACACAGCAACTGAGGCATCGGTTGCTCCCAGCATTGCTCTAGTAAAATATAAGAAAGGATGGAAACTTTAACACATAAAAGAAAAGTATTCAAAAGTTTAGGAAATGTTAAACAAACAAAAATGCAACCATTTAACATGCAAGGGGAAAACAATGTGCACCAATCAATATACAAAAGCATCTTGCAATGACAATTCAAAAGAATGACGGTTATATTTGTATAACTATAGCAATAATTATAGTTCTTCCTAATTCTTATTTAGGTTTAGTAAAATAACTAAGTATTGATTATTGATCATAAACCAAATACAGAAAAGTAGTCAAGCAAAATAATATCTGAAAGCTAGGAAGGCAACTAAACATAAAATGATGTACGATCATATTGAAGTCACCTGCAATAAGATGCGCACAAGCTCAGTACTCCCAAAACGAGAGGCTTCAAGGAAGCACTGATTGACATTGTCTGCGCCCCCCTCCACCAACATACCCAGCAAACCTTGAATTGCAGTTGCCGAGATCCCAGATGCCCAGCCAGAGTCGAATGAACTAGAGAAGAGAGTTAGGGGAAAGCAAGCAGCATCAAAGGCCTCAGTGAAGTCCTTCCCAGAAAGCTGGTTACCAGCAAGATCTATGAATGCCTTAAATGCTGATAACTGGAGTTGGATCTCAACCGATGAGCTATTGTTAACTTTATCCTTATTACCTTGAGAGCGAGAATGAAAGCCTATACATTTCAGAGCCCATTCAGTAAACTTTTGAACCTTAGCAGCAGCTTCTGCCTTCAAGACCTCATCTCCATTGCATTCCTGGAGGCGCTCATGCAACCTACAAAAAATAAGAGGGGTCACCAATAAAGCAATGGCACACCAATTCCAGGATAAAGTGGAAATAGACGGGCAACGTGCTCAGCAGACACAATAAACAATACCGCACTGCAATGTCGTAGTTCAAATAAAATAAATAAAATGAGGGAACATCCATGGATTTCAAGGAATGAAATTTGATGCATCTTAAGCTTTCTCGTAGCAAGTGGGGCACTTCCTAACCCACCAAGCTTTCTACTCACTCATGGTGTTGGCCAAAGGACAAATTCTAGTTAGTGTAACACCCAGGTTTTCTACATGTATGTTCATAAAAAGATTTCCTGGTATCATATGAACTGACATGGAAAGACTACATAAAATCAACCTGAGCTTGCTCACTTCATTAAAGAACTAGATTAATTTTATTCTACCTTTTAACTTGTAAAGATTTCCTGGTTTCAAATATTTAAAGATGAGTATTCATTAACTATAGAAGATACAATAAAAACATATATGTTATTACATCAAATTTAATCTTATCAGCAATATGTTAAACTAAGTAATATTTCCCCACGAACGCTGAAAAGTAGTAAACCTTACCTTTGGGCCATTACTGTGACTGTATCTGCAAGACTCATTGTACGGCTCTGACAAGCAGAAACACACGAAGCAAGAAATGAAGTACGCAAGGCAGCTCTCGTGAAGTCATACGCACCATTGACAATGATCTTCTTAATTAATTCCGTTATCCCATAAAGCTCTTCGTGAGTGCTCAAGAACCATATTGAGTCCAGAGTGATGCACAAAGCATCATTCAGGGTTTGCGGATCAGCTACCAGGATCAAATTCTCAGCAGCTTCCCAATCATGGGAGCTAACAGCACCCTGAAACATGCGACCCAACTCAATCCTATCTTGTCTACTGAGTTTCTTCTCTTGCCCAACTTTATCCTTCCTCTCCGGATTGAAGTCTACCACATCAACCCGAGATTTGAGTTTCTTGGCACTATAACTACAACTGGAGGGCATTCTTGACTCCTTCCTGACAAGAGGTCCTTCTCTAGAGAATACCACATTACTTCCCTCACCCTTGTCTGATGCAAAACCTTGAATTCCATTCTTTGAAATATCAATCCCATACTCTTCAGCTTCCATGTCGATATATTTGGGGTCTTCGGAATTAGTATCATTCACCACAATGCAACCATCATTACCCTCAAGAGGTGCCATCCCCTTTTCCATCCTCACCCACTGTAGTGTATAGGATATGCTATCCCCCACCTCCCCCCAATTTTCCGTAACTCAATGATAAGATTAAAAGGGGAAGGGAAAAAACAATCTCCAACCAGATAATCACACAAATTGCCCAAACAGCACCATCAAACAGCTTAAAGTAGTAACAACAAATAGCGGAAGAAACCAATTGCTCGCCAGTGGCGATTCCTGTTCCAACAAAACCAAACGGTTAATTCACGAGCTGGTTACAAAATTGCATTCTCTTTTTCTCTTTCTCCTCCGCCTTGGATGATTGCTCCACTCGGAGTCATGCAAACGAATCGAATATCGAAGTCATCCCCAACAGGCAACAGGCAGTGAAATTAAAACCAGCCCTCAATTCTCAAATTCCTATGCATGTTAGTGGAAAAGAGAATCCAAAACAAGCAAACCGGAGAGACAAGTTCAAATCTAGCGACCATACCAGTCAAATACCAAATGCTTTTTATTTTTACATAGAGAGAGAGAGCAGATTAAGCTTAAGCGATACCTGATGAACCCACCAGTACGGGCCCCACCAACGCCGGTAAGACCCTACCTTATCAGTTAATGCCTGAACTGAAAGCAGTGTCCAGCTGAGAGGATCCTGTCTTTCACGGAAGACAGTCGCAGTTACACAACACCGGAAAACCCTAGAACGGAAACCAATCAAGGATCGAGAAGATAACCATCCCTAGAGCACCAACCACAATCTTTCCATCACCAATTTAACAAATTTATAAAAACTGGAGAGAATTCGTTGTGGAAATGAGAAAATAAAGGGAATGAAGCAGTAATAAAATGGAAAATAAGGGCATAAATAGTAACATCTCAATAAAGAGTGAAGAACAAACCTCAGATTAATTGTGGTAGGAGAGGAGGAGAGAATGACTCGTCACAGACCAAACCCCTGTCGTGTTTATTCATGTTCTTTTCTATTTTAATTTCTTTGTCGGAAAGGAATCACGCTCGGATCGCTTTCTCTCAATTCATCTAGTCTGAGAATTTGAACCATTCAAAAATAATTCAACAGTTATAAATTGAAGTTCATTTTAAAAATTATAATAATTTTAGTTGTTTGCTCATTTTTCAATACTTCCTGAACTTGATGGATTAGAAGGAATAGATTCAAAGAGGATTCCTCTCCTTCTTTGTCTACGAAATTATCACAGGGATTATTTTTTTCATTTGCTTTTATGACAAATGTTCCCCAAAGTTAGTCTAATTCATTATTTTGATCCCTCATGTTTCAAACGAACAAAGTTGTCCCTAATTTGTGTGATGCACGATATTTTCAAGTTTAATGGTATAGACTACATTGATGTGTATACGTAAACTTCTAAAACAATTTTGATTTGAAATATAAGGATCAAATTAATCTGTTAGCAAAATATCAAGAATCATGTGTGATAAAAACACATATACAACACAAATTGGATAATAGAAACTAAATTGACATGCAAAGTTAAATTAAAAAAAATGACTTTAATCAATTTAAAACGTGAAGAACCAAAATGATAAGTTAACCAAACTTCAATGACTATTGATATAAAACTTTTTGTACATATACAACCAATATCCTACACACAAAAAAGTTGTATTTTAAGTTGGATTGTGCTATTCACACATTCATTCTTACTTCTTTCACACTCTTGTTAACTTTTGTTCATTAATCATCTTTAATTCATTTGATTCTACAAAAAAAAAAAATTAAAAAAAGTGTGCTAAGAAGTAAAAAATTAGTGAATGAGCACTATCTTTAAATTAAGCTAAGTTACATAAACGAATATATAAGCTCAGAAGCATAAGTGCATTAGCCCCACATATGCTTCATATAATTTAGATTAATGGCTTATTTGAGATTATTTACAGAACACTTCTCTTTTTGTCAATAAAAAACCATTTTTACTCATAAGTATTTATGATAAATATAATTTTCTTAGAAAAATGTTTTTTTTAACAAGTAATATAATATACATTACAAGGTGAAAGAGTGGGTTAAGCCTCATAAAGGTTAGCAATAATATGATTTTATTTCATCTTAATGAAAATTGAACGTAAAACATTTCATTTTCAAATAGAGAAAAAATCTCATTAAATCGTAAGTGACTTTTATTAAAAAATGTTGGACATGTTTAAAAGTGCTTTTGAATAAGGACAAGGATATCCTCTTTGTGGGAATTCAAAGGTTGAATTAATCGTGTCCGTTCATCGTACATCGTGTGATCAGTTTTCATTAGATAATATTTATATTTAATTTTAAATAATTTATAACTGATACACAATAAACGGACATGATTAATTAACCATCTGAATTCTCACAAAAAGGGTCGGAGAGGATTCTATTCCTAAGAATAAATCACTAAACGCATCCAAAACCAGAATATTGAGAATAAAAAAAATCGTTTCAAGCTTTTCCTAATTGACACACAAAGCATCTTGTACACTACCGGTGTCAAAAGGAAAATAAAATAAGTAAATACAGGAAAAGTAGGAGTGGTAGTATATATACTCCCATTAGTTAGCGCAGTGCAAAAGACATAGATAGACCTGCGTGAGGAAGTGAAAAGAGAGAGGTGAGACCAAAACCCTAGAATTCTGTGATCTGTTGCGTTGAGATCATACGATTGGATAGGAGGAGCGACTCACTCACTGACCGATTGACTGAGCCAGCGAGCGAGCGAGGAAGGAGGAAATGGATGAAGAGTATGACGTCATAGTGTTGGGAACGGGTCTGAAAGAATGCATCCTCAGCGGTCTTCTCTCCGTTGACGGCCTCAAGGTCTCTTCTTCCACCGCTCTCAACTCCCCTACTCTTTCTACTGCTATTTCTTCTTTTCTAATTTTTTTTTTCAATTTTGATCTCAAATCTCAATCTCATCACCATTGATTGTATGATTTGATTTGATTTGATGTGTATGAGTGATTGATTAGCCAATTGGGCCGACGAGATCTATTCGCAGTTGCAATCGCACGGATCTAGCTTCAATCGCCGTCTTTTCAATTTTCATTTCGCCGTTTTTTGTTTAATTGGATGTTATGTTTGATTCATTTCATCTAAATGCATCAACTGTTTTTTTATCTCAACACATCAACTTACTATCAATTATTAGACCATAACGAAAAATTAAGTAAAAAAAAAAAAAAAGAAGAAGAAAATCTTACTACTAGTTTACTATTCTGTGTATTTGAGTTCCTGATTGTGCTTGCGAACACGTCAAATTTATTGTTAATGGATCCTATTTGTTTCTAATCTCTCTTAACGTGCTTTCTTTGCTTTTAAATGAATCAAAGTGTATGGCACGATTGTAATCATTTAATATCAATGTTCGGTATATTTGTCGTTTTTTATTTTCTGTTGAATTTGACGAGTGTGGATCGAAACACGGTTGATAATTGTATTTTGTGAACCAGGTTCTGCACATGGATCGGAACGATTATTATGGTGGAGAGTGTGCATCACTTAATCTTGTCCAGGTCCCCTTCTGCCACATATCCTGTCTACGTTAAAGTCCTCCTCCCTTTCTTGCCCACTCGTTCGGTCTCTCGAACTTTATACTCTGTTATTTGTTTTGATCTTTAAATTATCATTATCTTGCAGCTATGGAAGAGGTTCAGGGGAGATGATAAGCCCCCAGCAAACTTGGGATCTAGTAGGGATTATAATGTGGACATGGTCCCTAAGGTATGTTTGTGTGTGTCCTTGAGTTTTGCATTGTTTTTGGCCCACTAATTGTTTTTCGTTAGTTTTTTTTTTTTATATATATATGTTTTCATGTTTTCCTAATTTGTTGCTTTTTACTTGGTCTAGTTTATGATGGCCAATGGCACTCTAGTGCGTGTCCTCATTCACACAGATGTCACCAAGTATTTGTACTTCAAAGCTGTGGATGGCAGTTTTGTCTATAATAAAGGAAAGGTAGTTCTGCTAACCCATTGGAAAACTGCATTTAGTAACTACACACACTAAGACGCTTACGTATGGTCCTGTATAAATTTGATCTTAAACCTTATGAGTGGGATCTCAATTGTTGCAACAGGTTCACAAGGTTCCAGCAACTGACATGGAGGCACTTAAGTCTCCACTCATGGGTCTGTTTGAAAAGCGCCGTGCACGCAAGTTCTTCATATATGTTCAAGATTATAATGAAACTGATCCCAAAACACATGATGGAATGGACTTAACAAGAGTGACAACTAGAGATTTGATCGCGTAAGTGCTAGGGCATTAACCTTTTTGCAAGTGAACTCTATAATCATTATAAGAAGACTCATAATTTGCGTTCTTGATTGTCTCATTTGTACCTATGATTTGCCTCTGTTTTCTGTTGTATATGGTTAATCTGTGTAGAAGAGAAAGGTGGTCTTGTTTCAATAATGTAACAACCCGAGAACATTTGTTTATATTTTTGTGTGGTTGATGTTTTGACAGAAAATATGGTCTTGATGACAACACTGTTGACTTCATTGGGCATGCTTTGGCACTGCATAGGGACGATCGCTACCTGAATGAGCCTGCTCTAGATACTGTGAAGAGAATGAAGGTAAATAGCGGTTGGGGTTCATAGATGATATTTATATGTTTTGTTTTTAAATTCTCACGTATTAAAATTCATTTTGTAATGTACTTGAGCTTAACGGGGTTGTGTCATAGCTTTATGCGGAGTCCCTTGCACGTTTTCAAGGAGGATCACCATACATATATCCTCTGTATGGATTAGGAGAGCTTCCTCAGGTATCTTTCTTTCTATTTAATTACATTATTGTAATTCATCTCAAAGTTGGTAAAGATATTCATTCTTTTGTGGCGCTTCATTTAGGCATTTGCACGACTTAGTGCAGTTTATGGTGGGACTTATATGTTGAATAAGCCGGAGTGCAAGGTAATCCTTACATATTTTCTTGGTTTTAACACTCTTTTGTTTTGCATTAGTTTTTTCTACTCTATATTCTATGTGTTTAGTTCCTGTCTTGACAGTGAGTTTGATGCATAATGCCAGGTAGAGTTCAATGAGGAAGGGAAAGTTGTCGGTGTCACATCTGAAGGGGAAACTGCTAAGTGCAAAAAAGTTGTCTGTGATCCGTCTTACTTGCCTAACAAGGTAAACCTTTCTGAGTAAAGTATTTGAAGGTGTTGGGATGGTAATATTAGTTTTCTGTTCATCTTATGCCTTACTAGTATGCATATGGTTGTTTTTATTTATAGGTCCTCTAGGGATATAATATCTTCTCTGTTCTTCTCTATCGTGCTTGAAGGGTGAAGAAAAATGTTTATTCCCCCATACGTTACTGAAATTTTATTGCATATTGACAGGTTAGGAAGGTCGGTAAGGTTGCAAGGGCTATTGCCATCATGAGCCACCCAATTCCAAACACAAATGAATCTCACTCAGTGCAGGTTATCCTGCCACAGAAGCAGTTGGGTCGCAGATCAGATATGTGAGTTCTCCCTTGTTTTCTTTATGACAAGTATTTATGTTGCAATGGATGCCCTTTGCTTATTTGAGAAGGTCCTATGTAACTGTTGCTTTAGAACAAAACAATCCCATGACTAGCTTGTCTTGTGGCATGGGAAAGAAATGGGTTTTCTTTAATAGGAAGAAAGAAATGGTAAATAGTTTATATGCATACAATGTCAAATAAACTACAATTTTTTAAGTATCTGTTGTGTAATTGGATATGCAATGTTATATCCCGTGGAGGTTATAGTCAGTTATCTATTCATTCTCTCACTGTTGGAAGGGTTTCGTGGTAACACTTGTGTGATGCATGATTAATAATCGTACTACCATTTCTACCCCAAACTACTACTAAAAGGGGAAAACAGTGGTATGTAGAGCAGGCCTCTGGGGCACTCACGTATGCTGTAAACAAATGGCTTGTTGGTGGATAGTTATTCATCCCGAGTTATCTCTGTTTCTCTTTTGTTGTATTTTTCTATTACTTGAGGCTAAGTCTTGTGGTGCTTTATTGACTGAACAGGTATCTTTTCTGTTGTTCCTACTCTCACAATGTTGCTCCAAGGGGAAAATTTATTGCATTTGTCTCAACAGACGCAGAGACTGATCATCCCGAGACTGAGCTAAGGCCAGGGCTTGACCTTTTAGGGCCTGTTGATGAGATATTTTTTGAGATGTATGACAGATATGAGCCTGTTAATGAACCCACTCTAGACAATTGCTTTATATCAACCGTAAGTTGTATTCAAGCCTTGATCTCTACTGGGCACTCTTTAATATGATTTATGCACACTTGACAAAAGGCTTCTTATGTTTCACAGAGTTATGATGCCACGACACACTTCGAGTCCACTGTCATGGATGTGCTCAACATGTATACCTTGATAACGGGGAAGGTAAGAAAAACAATTTTATGCATCGCCCAATCGGTTTTGTTCTATTGTTTTCCATTTCATGTCATCCTTAAAGTCGATGGACATTTTCATCAGTCAAAGTTCACAAACTAGTGCGACTAACTTGCCTTTGATTCTTTTTACTGTTTCAAAGAATCATGTCTCTCGTATAAGGTTTAACCAAATTACGCGGAATGTTTGAGCAGGTTCTTGACCTCAGTGTGGACCTAAGTGCTGCTAGTGCTGCAGAAGAATGAGTGGTAAAGCTACATGTGGTGGCACACCGAACTGGTTAAGTTACCTTACCGGGTGGCGGTGGTAGTCCTCAGATTATGAATTTTCACTCGATTTAAATCGTAGACTTGATTTGTCATATAATGTTCTAATGTACTTTGAAGTTTCAAACGTCGTTTCAAAGACGAACTGTACTGTAAAACATGTTATTTTCAGGTTGCGAGTATGTGTGGAAGCATATAAACAGAATTAAAATTTATCAGAGAACTATTTATTTCAAGTTAATGATGTGTGTGATATGCTACCCCTTCTGTAAGCTTTATTTTACACCGGAGGAATTGATCAATTTTTTCAAAGGTTACGTGTTACAAGAAAATTCAAACAAGCCGTAGATCAGGGAGCAACTGCAGCTTGGCTCTAATGTCGTTTTGGTTAGTGAGCGCAACTGTCTGTTCTTTTACGCCCCATGTTGGATACGATCTCAATGTTTTGATTAAGCTCTAAACGATCCATTAAATAGGTATTGATAGGGAAGAACTAGAAAAAATTAAGCCGTGGAATAACGACGAGTTTTATTTTTGTTTATTTAAGGAACTTGTTATTGGCACTTTAACAAATTTATTTTGCACTGTAAATTTTTATACTTAGGACGAAAAATATATGTGAAAAGTACAGAACGAGATTTTTAGTATGCTAATTTTTTAAATATGGTTATCTAATATTAATTACTGTTGGGGTGCAAATTTAGGGAGAGAAGAGTTTAAGGAATTTTGTACTTGATAGTTCTCATGTTTTGTGAATTTATTTATAGTGATCATGATGAGGTTGACGTGCCCTATAATGAGTACAATTCAATTTAAAAGATTTAGGAGATCTCAGCATACAGAACCTACTAAGTTTTACATACCACACATTTGCTAATTTTATATACAACATTTTGTTCAACTGTGTAAATACTCAAGTAGATAGCGTATCAACTCCTCATAAATAATGTAAAACAGTTGATGAAATCGTCTCATCTCGTTGACACAAAGGCGAGCCTCAATAAGAATTGCATGTAGAGATAAGTGGCACACGTTAAGTCTGGTATCTAGTTGACACCAAACTCGAGATGTGATGGCCATCATCGATTAGATGACATAGACATGACATGCATAAGGACAAAATTAAAGTTGTCAATGGATGTAAATCAACCAAATATTCAACAAAACTTCCACTAAAATAGAGAGAAATTTGAAATAGAACACTGGCAAGTAACCACATTTAATTCAACACATTTCTGAAGGGCCACACCAAATGAATCTCAGACCCTCTATCACATGCATGATTAGGTTCACAACGTAGTTACTAGTTTGCAAATTCTAAGGATGGTGCAGAATACTAATAACTCTAAAGTACCAGTCTATATAAAAATAGACTTTTATTCAAAAGGTATTTCATAAAAGTAGATATCAGGTCATTTATGCTCTCAATTTTTTCAAAAAATAGAGATTAGGTGTGAGACTCACTCTACATTGAACTTCAACAATCCAAACCGTCTATTTTGTAAGTCTAAAATCATAAAACATCATTGCAAGAGTTCAATTCAATTCGAAACCATTCGTCTATTTAATTATCAAGATAAATTTGATTATTTCTTATAAAACAAAGTATTCATTAATTTCTTTGAACTCACTTAGATGTCTTAAACATTTCCGATTTGGCTAATATTTTACAAGAATGACCTATGATGTGTAACTTGAAAAATAGATAGTTTGAATCGTTAAAATTCATTATAACGTGGACCATACAACTAATAGTAATTTTTATAAAAAAAAATGAGAATTCATTCTCTTAAAGATTTACTCCTATAGGTAGGAACAAGTCAAAGTTGCTGGAACGTGCCTCGACTTCAGATGTGATCACAGCTACGATCATGCGGAGGTGCAAAACATAAAAACGAGAAGACAAAAATAATTTTTTTCATAACATTTTATTTTCCGAACATTAACAAAAGGATTTCACGTTAAATAATTGTTTTTTAGAGATGGTTGTTTTAGGTAAATAATTTGTAGAAGATTACGATCAAAAGAATAAACGGTTTTAATTAGGGTTGGGCATTAAAAAAGAAAAAAAAAAAAAACCAATAGTGTGCATTTCAAATTAACGATAGACGAGTATTATTATGATTTTTTTTTTAATTGTTTTTTCCCAAATTTAAACTTATCCTAAAAACAGTTGATATTTTCCTTCCGTACCCATTTAACATTTGAAACTCGTTTCTGTTGTGTTACCCAAATCAAGACGCGCAACAGACTCCGAACCACGTCTCAGTCGCGGGCTCGCAGCCAACAAAATCTCAGCAGCTCTCCCCCATCTCCGACCCCATCCGCCCTCGGCCCTCCGCCCTCTCTAGTTGTTACTACTCCTTACTCTGAGTCTGCGTCTTCAATTTCTGACCCAACCCGAACCCGAACCCGAGCCCCACAACTTGGAGTTTTGGAGTCACTGAGTTCGTGTGCAGTTGCAGAAGATAAACCTGGAGATTTGGAGGAAATAGTAAGTTGTTGATTTGCTTTAAATACTACTTCAGCAGGCCTACTCCGTCCCTCTGTCTGTCTGTCTAGGATTATGCTTACTAACGACTCCATTAGTCGATCTCGATTTCGATCTCGATCGTGTAGGTTGTTATTTCCAAAAGTTGTACTACGAGGTGGCGGTTCTTGGTGCCATGCCTGCTGTGAAGAAGGTTCTTGCTTCTTCTTTTCGTTCTTTATTTTCTTCAACTTCCAATCTTTCGCATGCATGAATGAATGAATGAATGAATTGGGTTTTATTTATGTTTTTGTTTTCATTTTCGCTTACCAGAATTCTGAGCGAAGTCACATTGGGAATGTCTTCAACAAGTTGCTGAAGCAGATTGGAAGCCCTGTTGATTTTGAACTTCCAGATTGGTTCAATAAGTGGAAACCCATGCCCTACACTTTTATAAAGCGCAGTATCCTCTCAATTACTAACTTTTTATTCACCAAATCATACCACGTCGAAGTCGGAACTTGTCCTGTGGATCATTGTATAACTTTACTGCAAGTTTACTGCAATCCCAGTTATCATCTTACGTGCCTGTTGGTTTTTCTCTATGTTACCCCCCATCAAACATGCTGCTGCATAGGTTGTCTCATACATACTCCATCTGTGTTTTTTATTTAGTGGTTTAATACGCATCTTATCTCGCTACTCCTAGTTTCGTTGACAAATTTAAGATATATATCACACCAAGAGGATTAAAAGACGGCTTGAGGATGATGGCATATTCTGTTCCTGCAACCCATCACTAGAGTCTTCTAGTGTTTGTGGTAGAGATTGCCATTGTGGGTAAGCACATTCTTGGCTGATGATGGTTGCGTTTCATGCATCTGTAATAAAATAGACATGTAAAGGTTGTTGCACGTGATCATCCTGTACTGCGCTTTTGTGCATTGTTTTGATGTTCTTAAAGCGGATCTTTCATCATAGTCTTGTAATAGATGGGTTGAAATGTGATATATATGCAGGATGCTTCTGTCTAGCTGCTCCTCAGCTTGTAAATGTGGAAGTTCCTGTCTGAACAAACCGTTCCAGCACAGACCTGTGAAGAAGATGAAACTGGTTAAGGTAATTTGTCTTACGTTTAAAAATCTGAATTGCAGTGGTTTTAACTTCGCATCATGTGCTGGTTATTTGCCTTTCTGATGTTCTGATCGATGTTTTTAAACATATGAAGTAGCATAACTTGAAGGCTGATATGTTTTTTTGTAAGAAATAGCTGACTGTCTATTCAGATCTCCCCATGTTGCCCTTTATTAAACTTGCATCATATGCTATTTATTAGGTGTCTACTTTGCTAGCCTACAACTGATGCAAGACACCAAATAAGTTTGTTTAGCAATATGACCATTCATCTCATGGTTTTATGTTATTGATTTCTCCCCATTAGACTACCGAGGGTTTCCTATTATAAAACTATTAAGGTAACATAATTTTCACTGAATGGAGGGTGCTGGCATTGCTACCCTAAACCCTTAACCCTAAGAATTGCTATTTTGATAGCCATTTATTATTGTTTTTTCTTTGACATTATAATGCCTTGTGCATAGATTAAATTGTTTTCAAGTATTGTATTTATTTATCAGAATTGTAGACATTGTTAAGGCACTTAATGGAATAGGGGATTTCTTATAGACTGAGAAATGTGGTTCCGGAATTGTGGCGGATGAAGATATTAAGCAAGGAGAATTTGTGATAGAATATGTGGGAGAAGGTAACTTCTAAGTCATTTCTCCTCTCGATGTCACGGTCATTATGTGTAGCTAGTGTTATATTTGAAAGTTATTATCTTACCACGAATGTATTTGAAAACTATTAATCAATGATGTTTATTTGGACAGTGATTGATGACAAAACATGTGAGCAAAGGCTGTGGAATATGAAACACCGTGGAGAAACAAACTTTTACTTATGTGAAATCAATCGAGATATGGTTATTGATGCCACATACAAGGGAAACAAGTCAAGATATATAAACCATAGTTGTTGTCCTAATACTGAGATGCAAAAATGGTATTCCACTGGACCTTATTACTGGTTTCAAGGTCATTGCAGTAAATGATATGTCTTACATGTGTTGCTTGTTCACTTTTTTGAAGGATAATTGATGGTGAAACAAGAATTGGTATATTCGCAACTCGTGACATAAAAATGGGCGAGCACCTGACCTATGATTATCAGTATGAACACCTGCATAACTCCGCTAATTTAATCTTTTTATTAATTGAGCATCTTTGCTTAAGCTAGTGTATTTTTTTCACAATCATCAATCTGGTGGTCATCCTTTGCTCTAGAACTACAATTACTGGACATGAAACTTTCTATTCCTCTAGTCCAGTCTAATAAATTTAGCAGGTTTGTTCAATTTGGCGCAGATCAAGATTGCCATTGTGGTGCGATTGGTTGTCGACGAAAACTTGGTGTCAAACCTACCAAGTCAAGATATCGTCAGATGCTGCGTTGAAACTAGTAGCATGCCAGGTGGCTGTGTCCTCCCCTAAATTGAAAGCTATTATCTCTGCAAAAGATGTATGTATAGATGTCTGATGTTGTTTGCTTCCATCGGTTTCTAATATTTTGCTTAATAAATCATATTTTTTTTGTTTCTTTTGAAAAAAGAAGAAACATATGAAGATACCGAGGGTTTGAGGCTTGACAAAAGCATTCTTAATAATTTGCTGCTCTGAAAACTTTCTTTTTGGTTTTTGAATTTAAATACTTTATCTTGAAATAGGTCCTTCTATATCTTAGGATGATTCAGTTTACATGATCTTGTGATTGAACCGTCAATGAGGAATGAGGATTACAATTTTGAAAAAAAAAAAAAAATGATTCTTATTTTGAAAGGGATGATAGAAAACTAGAATAGTGGAGTGACTAGTTACCATTCAAAAGTATGGAAGTTTTCTTAGGACTTTTATTCTGAAATGATAGTATGGACTAATTGTGGTACTCTTTTTTGGTAAAGGTTATTCAGAATGGGAGTCTGCATATTGGTGAGCTTTTATCTATTCTGTGGTTATTGTCTTTTATTAATGTTTCAAAATTTGTGATATACTTCATTTGGAACTCTTTTTATACATCTTATTTATTTATTAGGAAATTCAGAACCCATCCATAACCAAAGCGGTAGACGTTCTTGTAATTGCATTGGTGAAGTGATTCGAATAAGTCGCCCCCCAAATCAGTGGTAAATTTTGGAATATCTATGAATCTTTCATTCTGACACTGGTTCATATTTCTGAATGTGTTATGCACTTGCATTAGTTGTTTTATGTGCGGTACCAAGAAAAAAATATTGTGAGAACTTGGAACCTTCTCTCTTGTCTAATCTGGGTCTTGTCTAATCTGGGAAATCTTGACAACTAGCCCTTTATCCCACTAAAGACTTACTTTTTGAGAAAGAAACTCTTATTTGCAGCAAAGACAATAAGACAACAAAGGGTAAAGGAAAGTGGTCAAGAAGGCCGCTAATATAAAAGAAAGCTGGATAGAAACAGAACCCAGTCTAAGTTTGAAATTCTTTATAGGTCCAAATTTGGGCATGTTTTCAAAATCTCACTTTTAATCTTTCTGTATAAACTTGTTCTTGAGATTCCATACGTGGATGTGTGTTCTTGTTAGGCTCTTTTGTGGTTTTCTATTTTTCTTTTTCTGTAAATGTGTATCTTCATATCAGATTGGGGATTTGATTACTGCACAATGAGCACTTAGTAATGCGTGCTTCGTGCTGCATGTTTGCAACCTTATTGCTTGCAAAAATCAACTTAATGATTTGTGATATCAGAAATTAGTCTTTCCTTGAATAGATATATTTTTGAATATTTAAGTTTTGCTATGAGATGTAAGTTGATGAATGAATTTAGTAATTGGTTAATTTACTTTTACTCTGAGTGTTCATGTTGAGCAGCAAATATCTAGAGATGACTTGAATAATAATCTTGGTAGGGAATTCCTTGAAGTTTTTAATACCACTGATAATCTTTACATATGTTTTAGCAACACTTGAAATAGAATACATCATGCTTTCCATTGTAATCATTTTACTATATTGATACTAAAGGCGGCTAACCTTCATTACCTTAGGAAAGTTTAAAGATGATACCAAAACCGAACAAAAGGTGGAAAGTTGAGAAAACGTCAATGTTTTGCCACCTATGTAATGGGCACAAAGGAAAAAATTTGGAATTGAAACACACCTTATTTTTATTTTTGGAGCAATACATAGATAATATAAAACTGACTGTGAAATGTGAACACCTTCATGACTCTGTTTGTGCAAGTGATGTTAACTCTAAAAAGATTTTAAAGAATTTTTATGGTGGAACAATAGCCTTTGATTGATCTGTCTCCTCTATTAAGGTTATTATTTATTTGTACTGTACCTTCTCTTTTTTCTTCCATTTGCTACTTTCGGCTACTGAAAAAGAAATAAAATTATATAAATTTCTTTAAAAAGTTTCCGTTTTCATAAATATATGTTGTTCTGGGTTCTGAGGTTTCATATTATTTAATTTAATCTGCTTAATATTTCTTCTTTATTCTCCAATGTTTCAGGTCTTTTGGGATTATCAAACGGTTTGATAAATATTCCAGAAAACACTCGGTATTAGATAAATCACCTTATTTATCTTTTTGTTTTGTTAGATGTAAATATTGTAGTCATATTAATATATTGCAAATGGACTTTATTTTTGGCTCAGATCATGTTTGAAGATGGTAGCATTGAATTCCTTGACATGTCAAAAGAAGATTGGGAACTTGTAACATTGTGATATGATCATGAGGCAAGTGTAAACTTTTATCCTCATCCTCGGTGCCTTTTTTTGAGTTTTATCCGTATGATATCTCGGTTTGCTAGCTCTTTGAACTTTCTAAGTAACATGGATATAAGAACAAAACAAAATATGTGATACGGAAAGGCTGGTTTTCATTTTGATCAGATGTGACCGCTGGGTTGTAACAGTAGCAAGGCTACACATGGCACACACTCACACATGAACTGTTCGACTATAATGTATGTCTTTGGTTCCCCACTTTTGGGTACCAGGAAAGAAAAGAAGGGGTGGGGAGGATTGGTTGCATCTTTGATTTTGCATGGATATGTCCATTTCCATGGGGAATTTGCACTTATCTCACATTGTGTGATTGTAAGAATTTTGTGAACAATGGCACCTAGTTTAGTAGTTTATTATATATAACTTTCAAGGGAGTTGCTGGAGCTGGGGGTGCCGCAGCCACTTGAGGCCTGTATGCGGTTGTGGTTCCTCCCATGACTCTGGAGATCTGTGTTCCTATATTTATTTTCTGCGTTGCTTGTGTATTCCGATACTGGCAGTGCTAGTTTTGCTAGTCCAATGTCTGATGATATCTTTTGGTTTGGTGCTTATTTTGCTGGTGAAGGATTCTGCAGAAGCAAGGACGACTCGTGGTAGTTGGAAACCGTAGCATGTATGACAGTAACTAGAGTTGCTGACACTGATTTAGCCTTCACTCTGCTGTTTCATTGAGCAAAAAGGTTGATCAATTCTTTGCAATGCAATGCATGTTGTAACAAATCACTAATGTAGGAATTTTAGCGATAATCCAGGCCGGGCCGGGCCCCTCCCTAAAGAGAAAAAGAAATTTAAAAAAAAAAAAAAAAAAAACGAAAGAGAAACATCACACAAAGAAGCACGGGGTTGGTGAGAATGTTGTTGTTGTATCAAATGTATTTTTGCATATTTTCTTTGTCTTGTACTTTCTGGATGGTAAATGTGTAAACTTACTGTAATAGGAGATTATTGTTTACTGGTTGAAAGTCTTTTTACCATGGGCCGTGTTGAGTATCTGATTGAATTGAACCACAGATAATTCACTAAATCCATGTGGTCAGGTTTATTTTGTCATTCTACACGATTATATTATTTTTACTAAAAAGTTTGTCAAACATTTTTATACCTTTTTTATGCTGACAATATTTTAAAATATATAATTTATTAAATGCTTAACTGTTTTATTTTACGATTAATTATTTTTAAAGCATAACGTAAGCGGTTTTCTTTTTAAAGCACAACAATCCCATTACAATAAATTGTCTGCCCTGGTTGTTTTCCAAGGAAGTATTAGTTGATGAGCAAAGTTGTTGGGCCAACTTCTGATGTGTAGGATGTTGGACCTCGCTTGCCACCAATGATCCATCCGGTGACGCGACATGAATAATCAGCGACGGACACCGGTTTTTCTAGACGAATGCAAGGGGAAGATTGACAAAAACGAATGGAACGGCTGGTTTTAGTCTTAGGAAAAAATAATAAATAACCGAATAGTGCTTTTGAGCCTTTGAACAATCTGGAAAAGTAAAAGGATACTGTTTGGTTGATACATGTAAGGAAACATTTTTAAATAGATGCAAAATCACACTGCAACACTTTTTAAAATAACTAATTTTTGAGTACATCGATCCATTTTTACGAAAAGAGATCCTCTTTGGATCGCTTTCACCAAGGTCTCCGAATCAAGTGATCCGGGTCTTTGAAATTTGATTCAACGGCTAAAAACAGAGGCTTCTTTTAAAAGTTGTAATAATTTTAGTCGTTATATCAAATTTTGAGAGCCCGGATCACTTGGTGGAAGAGATCTGAAGAGGATCACTTGGTGGAAGAGATCTGAAGAGGATCTCTTTCCCATTTTTACGAGGAGAAGTTCAACTAAACCACACAATGCCCAACCTAATTTGATATCAAATTCGACATCCATGAGATTTGAATATAAAACCTCTCACTTTTAAGTAAAGAAAAATATTACTATACCGTAATTGAGTGACTCAAATAACTAATTAAAGTATTGAAAAGAAATACTGTCACGAAATCAACGAAAAGTTTGCTTTTAATTATTTTCTATAAAGTTGTATTTCTCTTCACTTCTAAGTGAGAGATTTTAAATTAAATTCTCCCTAATAATAAATTCAAATCAAATTATTGTGATTAGTTTATTGTAAAGTTTACTACACTACTTTTTAATGTATGTAAGAAATTACAGGAAAGAAAAGGAAAGATCAAATAAAATAAAATACAAGAAGAGGACGCCGCGTGGCTGCCGGTGGAGGAGTGCTAGGGAGTAGGTGTGGTGGGTCCTGGCCACCAACCCAACCCAATCTTCATTCCAAGTGAGAGTGCGGGGACCACCAGGGGAGTAGGGAAAGGATGTGACAAATAGAGAAGAGAGCATTTTTGCTCACCACCATTTAGTGTGGTGTATATTCATCATCCTATTTATTACTGTTATATGAGTTTGAATTTCAAGTAAATAGACACAAATCTCAAAATTCAAACTCATCCAGCTGTGATAAATAAGATGATGAATATACACCACACTAAATGATGGTAAGCAAAAATGCACTCAATAGAGAATGGTCGGGCAGGGGACTTGTGGTTGGGGTAATACTATTGAGCCTAAATGTGTAAAATAAATTTTGTAAATTAAATAACATAAAAATTATTTATTTTTTATTGATGACATATAATTATGTTTGCAAATTTATTTTATAAATTTAAACTTCGTAACATTAGTCGTTGGTTGGTGATGGTTGGTGCAAGTTGGTTTTCCCAATCTTTTGGGAGAATAGGAATTGAAATTGGAAGGGAATTCAGTTCATCAAGTGGTTAATACTTGTACCAGGGCAGATAGCACGAGAAATAGTCTACGTATATGCGTACCCGATCACCTCCCTCATTCTTTTTGGTTTTGAAGTTTGACATTGTCTTTGTTTAAATCTAGGATCGAGTACGAAATTGACTAACAGTAAGACCAAAGCGAGCAAGCCTATGAGTAACACCGGTGGTTCGACGGCGAGCAAGCCTATAAGCAATGTAACCAATGAATGGTTTTATCAATAGTTTACTACAAGATGAACACACTCAAAATGCGTGTGAAATTTTTAATTTTTGTTCTTAAAATTGAAAGAGAGAGGAAGAGAGCGAGGGAGAACATGGAAGTGGAGAGACAGGGAGACGTGTTTATTTATTTTTATTTTTTAATTTTGAAAGTAAGGATGTTAATATCATTTGTAGATGAGGCTTGCACAAAAAACACAAAAACTTTGTTTTGTGAGATTACGTTGCTGCCTTTAACTTTTTTGTTATCATATACGACTAAATATTTTATTTTGTCTTCTTTTAGTTGACAAAGAAAATTCTATTAATATGTAGTTTATATATAATAAAATTAGAGGAAGGAAATGGATCCTCTTCGAATTCCTATATCGTACATTGCATGGCCAATTTTTGTCAGATATTATTTGTGTTTAATTTAAATATAAAAAATCAAACGATTTCTGACCGTACGATATACGATGAATTGCCAAGGGATTCTCACAAAATGAATTCGGACGGAATCCAATTCCATAAAAATCATAATTTTGATTGAAAAAGTCGAATATGGAGTAAAAAAAAAAGTACAGAAAAAAAGGGAAGGGGGGTTGGTGGGTCTCTCCAACTATATAATGAGAGAAAGGGGGTATGAGGAGAATTGCCATTTGCCACCACACACTTTGTTAGTTTTACATTTTCTGGCAAATTGCCGGTCCGTAGATTTGCTAATCAGGATCTAAATCTGAAATTAAATTCCATAATCCCCCGTTATTTACATATATCTATATATATTACAACAATTGTGCCGTGTGTCGGTGCAGACTAACGGACTGACAGACTTGCGAGCAGCAAGCGAAGCAAGGATGAAGGTGATCGAGAAGATCCAGGAGTCTTTGGTGGATGAGAAGAAGGTGGTCTTCTCCTTCGAGTTCTTCCCCCCAAAGACCGAGGATGGCGTCGAGAATCTCTTGGAGAGGATGGATCGGATGGTAGCCCACGGCCCAGCCTTCTGCGACATTACCTGGGGTGCCGGTGGCTCCACCGCCGATCTCACGCTCGAAATTGCCAACAAGATGCAGAACCTCATCTGCGTCGAGAGCATGATGCACCTCACCTGCACCAACATGCCCGTCGACAAGATCGACCACGCCCTCCAAACCATCAAGTCCAACGGCCTCCAGAACGTTCTTGCTCTCCGCGGCGACCCGCCCCATGGCCAGGACAAGTTTGTTCAGATCCAAGGAGGCTTTGCCTGCGCCCTCGACCTGGTTGGTTCCTACTTTCCCTTCCTAACTCGAATTCCCCAGATCTGACGACACATTCATTCATTCATTCATATATTGCTTGCGAATCGCTAAATCGCTCTTTGCAATTGCAGGTCACCCATATCAGAGCCAAATATGGCGACTACTTTGGCGTCACTGTTGCTGGTTATCCAGAGGCTCACCCGGACGCCATTGCAGCCGATGGCCTCGCCTCTCCCGAAGCATATCAGAGCGACCTCGCTTATTTGAAGAGAAAGGTTGATGCTGGAGCCGATTTCATCGTCACTCAGTTGTTCTACGACACTGATATTTTCCTGAAATTCGTGAATGACTGTCGCCAAATTGGAATTACTTGCCCCATTGTTCCTGGAATTATGCCCATCAATAACTACAAGGGTTTCATACGCATGACTGGCTTCTGCAAAACCAAGGTATTAGAAACTGCCTTTTCTCTCTTCTCTTATCTTCCTCATCATCCCAATTAACAAACAAAAAAATGGCACACTGTAGATACCAGCTGAGGTCACTGCTGCCTTGGAGCCTATCAAGGACAACGAAGAAGCTGTGAGATTGTATGGAATTCACCTTGGAACCGAGATGTGCAAGAAGATTTTGGCTTCTGGGATTAGGACTTTGCATCTTTATACTCTCAACATGGAGAAATCTGCGTTAGCTATATTACAGGTTTTCGTCTATATCTTCCTTATTCCGTCTCAATTGACTTGAGATGTACATCAAATTATATGAGTTGCTTGATTAAAACTTGTACCATTTTGGCAGAATCTTGGTCTGATTGAAGAGTCCAAAATATCGAGGCCGTTACCTTGGAGACGCCCTGCAAATGTTTTCCGTGTTAAAGAAGATGTTCGTCCAATTTTCTGGTATGCAATCCAACTGCTACCCCAAACACACACACACACACACACCCCTAAGAAAATATCTAATCGTTGTGGGAATTGATGTAGGGCTAATCGTCCCAAGAGCTACATATCAAGAACCGTAGGCTGGGAACTATATCCACATGGGCGGTGGGGTGACTCCGGTAACCCTTCATATGGAGCACTGACTGATTATCAGGTACAATAAACACACAAATTTGGTCTTGGTGCCTATAATTTCGGTATGGATTTGGTCCGATCAGTTTCTGTGGTTATCAAAATTTTCAGCTTGTTAAATACTTGAGCATTCCAATGATGTTCTCTTAGAGAAAAGTTTACTTTTATTCCTAATCCAGTTTATTTCATTTGATTAAAGTTTTTCACAACCACTTGGTCACAACCACATGTTCTTTCTTACTTTATATTTTTCCTTTGCACTGGAGTTGGGTATACATGACCTTAACTCATAATTTTTCAACAGTTCATGCGGCCACGTGCACGTGACAAGAAACTTGTTGAGGAATGGGTTGTCCCATTGAAGAGCATTGAAGATATCTACGAGGTGAAGTTTCCATCTCACTGTGTATGTTGTCTTTGCATTGTCAGCAAACTACCTATGAACTGACGTAATGGAATTGCTTTTATCTCAGAAATTTAAGAAATTCTGCCTTGGAAAATTGAAAAGCAGCCCTTGGTCTGAACTAGATGGGCTTCAGCCAGAGACGGGGATCATAAATGAATTGCTAGGAAAAATTAATACTAAGGGTTTCCTTACCATTAACAGCCAACCAGCGGTAAATGGGGAAAGATCTGACTCGCCGGCTGTTGGTAAGCAATAAGAATAAATATGTTTGTCGTTTTGCGATTATGATAACCATTCGAAGATTCAATTTGTATCTCATTTTTGCGAGTGAGGCTCTATCTCAAGTAATTTGGTTTTTATCAACGAGTTTTCATCAGAATCACTGAAATCACTTGAGTCTCGTTTGAGCCGTGTTAACTAGCTTGAACTTGATAACTTAGAAAATTCAATATGATAGATGATTTCATTTTTTTTTTTCATGAAGATCAGATTGTATTACTTTTTCAACACTACAGCACAAGAAGGAGATTTATTTTATTATATTTATTTATTTTCGTTTCCATTCCTTTCCTTGAAACTAATATTTACAGGTGATTATCATCCTCATACGTGATCTTGAAAATTGCATATTATCTAGATTCTTAACATATCTAACTCGTTTCTCAGGGTGGGGTGGTCCTGGAGGATATGTTTATCAGAAAGCCTATCTAGAGTTTTTCTGTTCGAAGGAAAAGTTGGATGCTCTTGTTGAAAAATGCAAGGCTCTTCCATCTCTAACTTACATGGCCGTGAACAAAGATGGGAGCTGGGTATCTAATACTGGCCAGACTGCTGTGAATGCGGTAACATGGGGTGTCTTTCCAGCAAGGGAGATTATCCAACCAACTGTCGTAGATCCTGCCAGTTTTATAGTTTGGAAGGATGAGGCATTTGAAATCTGGTCAAGAGGATGGGCCCGCTTATACCCCGAGGGTGACTCGTCTAGGAAATTGCTTGAAGAGGTTTGTGTTTTTCATTAATGTCTCTTCTTCCCTGTTAACATATTTATGATTTGATTGTTCAAATGTATGGCTTACTACACCCAAAAGACACCTTTCCACTCTCGATCTTTTGATGGGAATTGAGAATAGTAATATCGACGCCATCTTGTTCTCAACTTTTGCAGGTGCAGAGCGGCTACTATTTGGTCAGTTTGGTAGATAATGACTACATCAACGGTGATGTTTTTGCTGTTTTTGCCGATTTCTGAATGAGCTGTTTTGTCAACTCATCCACTTCTTAAATCCCTTAAAAGTGGTGCTTTCATTGCAAGTCGGATTATAAATTTGATGTCATTAAGTTGTGTAATAATAACTCTTTGGGATTTTTGAATATCCCCTGTTTCAATTTCATGGTGCAAATTGCGCGTTTATCATGCATGATCCGTGTCTGGCGTAATGGATACGATCTGGTTCTTTGTGGGTTCGCTTCTCGTATGTAGTTTGTGGCAATGTAATCCAAATTACATGATTTGTACTTGATGTTCTCTCTCGAATCTTTATAAATTTATATTGTCGCGTATAATATATTCCACTTCCTTCATACATTGTTGAGCTAGTATCATCTCTTCATTATTAAAAAAGAAACATGGTTATGAACAGTGTGGTATGAGGAAAAAATGGGACAAGATCCTCTTTGGATCGCACTGTCTGGAGCTCAAAGACGAGGAAATTCAAACCATTTAAATTGAATTCAGCTGTTCTCATTAACTTGTTCCGCTAACTCATCTCACACAAACTAGGGGTTTAGATCTCTCTCTCTCTCTCTCTTAAACAGTCCGGATTTTCTAGTCCATAGGCTTTGAACAATGAGGACCGTAGAGGATCCAAATTCGATGAAATACACATGGAATGACAAAATGTTATAGATTTATAAGAAAAAAAAATCTATGCCCTCGATCTCAATAATTTAGATGGCTGCCCAACTTGTGACTATCGCCCAGAAGTAGTGAGATAAGCATCAAAGTAAACAGGTTACAAGACACCTTCGTAGTTGATGCATCCATTTATGTGTACTACTGCTTGTTACCTATGAATTATGATATACAATTCTACTCAGAAGTGAAGGTTTCCTTGGAAGCAAGCTGTGACTCTAAAAATAGATGAGTTGATGCATCCCAAAGTTCCTCCCCAAGTTTGGCATTGTATGAGAGCACAGAGGAATCGACGGTCCTACCCTTTCCCCCAAAATAATATACTCCAGACGTTTCCTGAAATTGACAGAGAATTGCTAAGATAAGAATCCATTTGATGTTCTGAATTGTTACTTGTCACTGAACAACTCCATTTCAGGAGTGAGGATGTATATCAAATTATCAATATAAGACAGAAAATGAAACATTACGCTCCTATCAAACGCCAGAAGAACTAATACTCAAATCAAGGACGTCACCACTCAAACCACCAGATTTCTAGTTATGCGCATTGACTAAATCCTTTGAAGTGCCCAAAAATAATATGCCGCATACTTTAGTATTCATTGCATAAGATGAAAAACAAATCGCAGCAGTCTTAGAGCACTGGAAATGAAATGTATTTGTTTTGGGCTAGATCTGAGATGGTTTGACACAAAACACTGAAAGTTTGCAACACCTTAGGACAAACAATCGGTGGCATTCATATTCACATGAGCAAGCTGCAAGGACTTAGAATGAGGAGAAACTTACTGGTGGGGAGAGTGCTGCGTCAAGAATGGAACTAACTCCAATCTCAGGTGACTGCAAAAGGCCCAGAAGTTTCAAAACTATGAAAGCCAGACCGGATAGGCATGAGGGTACCTCTCGCATGATGTTAGTTTCCACAACTCCAGGATCTACAGCACTTCAAAATCATACAAAACCATAACTAAAATCAAGTGTTAAAACCAAGTATCAAGTGCATGAATCCCAAAATGTCCGATTCAGCGTCTGATAATAATCAGAGACAGTAACTGACTCCATTGGTATCTTTGCTATTAAGAATTCTGCTTACACCTTTCAGGAAAGGAAATGGGAGAAAGTGTGAGCACATACATGACGGAGACCTGACGTGATATATCCGTCAAGCCACGTTGCCGGTGAAGCTCATAGGAGAAGAGCAGGAGGAATACTATCAACAAAAGGGGCTTGTTCAAATTAGAATAGAGAGAAGATTGTCTAGGGTATCTTATATGGAAATCATAGCTTACATTTGGAACACTCGTAGACATGAGCAAATGGGTATTGCTTTTGTCTGCTGAAGCACTTCCCAGATACAGTGTCCTTGTTAATCTGTATATTCAAAACTGAAGAGAGGGGGCGAGGGGAAGGGAAGAACCAATAAGTTTTTTATCAAACACACACACACAGCGCAAATCAACAAGATTTTTCATCCAAATTTCCCTATCAAAATATTTTCATCCAAATTCTAGCAAAATTCAGAAACAACAGGATAAGCACTTTTATTACAGCATATCCTGCCTTGCAAATTGCAACTTATTCATTTTCTTCCAATTTCTTTTTGTATTTCCAGAATTGGGCAAACTGCATTTTCCAAAAGCATACTAATCTTGCTATAGCGAAGGTTTTGTGGATGCATAAGCCTGACTCAATAAATATGAATGGAAAAGGTTGAAGTGCACATATTGGGAAGATTCTTACCACTTCGGTGTGTGAAAGACGTGACATTCACTATACGAGAAGGAACTGGGCTGTTTCTGAGAAGTGGTAATAATAGTTTGCTCAGAGAAAATGCACTTAAGTAATTTGTAGCCATCATCCTGGAATGACAAAAAGAAAAGGCGAAATTATCAGCCAGCAATGCACGATTGAAGGGAAAGTGGATGCAGGGCCACTTCCAAGTTCCAAGTGCCATATTGAAATGTCAATTATTGTAAGGAAACAAATTCTTAAAGAAGAAGATAGATGAAAGAAAAACGAAGTTATTACTGATCATAGCCTTGAGAGGTGAGTCTAGATGAAGTTGCGAGTATCCCAGCGTTGTTGATGAGGAGTTGGATGGAAGGGTGCATCTCTGAGTTAGAAAGCCACTGCTGTAGGGAGGCTTTAAACTGGAGAAGTGAGTGGAAGGATGCGACGTCAACCTCAAAAGCTTTGAGATGTACATTCTCATTCTGAGTTTTGATGTCCATTATCGTCTGACACAAACAAATCGACATCAGGAAATGGATTTCAGAAATTTACAACTACCCAAGAAAGCAGAAAGTTATATAAAGCAGAGGGAGGCAGCAAAAGCTTAGAACAACCTACCTTTGCTAACAAGTGGGATGAACGTCCAACTGCAGGCAGAGAGGAATGGAGAATGAGCTAAACATGCATCCTTACATTCTTATAAAGTTATGAACAGACTGTGCACCTATTGGATGATACATTCTCTATTGCAAAATAAATGACCAGTTACTAGTCTAGGCTCTAATCTAGCAACATGATTGAGTGATTCAAACAAACAAGATGAATATGAATACCGAGAACCACGAAGAAACCGCGGGCGGAGAGAGCATGGGCAGCAGCCGCACCCAATCCAGACGTAGCCTGCGTTATTATCAATGAGACTGAAACACTTAGACAATACAATTGAAGAAGAAAATGAACAGGGCAGTAGACTTACACCAGTGATAACGCAGACAGGCCTAAATCCCGAGGGGGAAGTCCAAGGCGATGAATTGGAAGGACGAGAATTGGAATTCGAATTGGGTTGAAGAAAGAGCTTCCAGTAGGAGATGAGGAGATAGAATGCCCACAGCACCGCCATTCTCCAGAATTCCATGGACGTTACAAATTCCAATGCCGCCTTCATCTTCTTCTGCTTCTTTCACTTTCTAGTACTAAATACCCTCTTACAAATTTACAATAATAAATATTAATGGGGATTGGGGAACAAATCAAATTAAATCAAATCAAATCAAATAGACCGAGGGAGGGAGCTGAATGAACGCTCATCTTTGAGTGCTGCTGCTGCGTATACAGTCGTCGTCGTCAGATTCGGCCGTCGTAGTCCGCAGCCGCCAATCCTCAACGACTCAGAGAGACTGCTCTATGCTCTATGCTCTACCCTCTCTAGCCTCGCCGGCGGCGGCAGTGGAGACTGAAGAGTCGGAGTCGGAGAGTTGATGCATGCGCAGGCAAACAAGCGCCCAAGCACCACAACTTCTGTTTCGAATTGCAGACCTCCTTTAGTCAAATTCAAACGTGGATAACATGCTCGAGCCGCACCACCATTTCAATTACACTAGCTTCCTCCAAGTGGTGTAATGTAATTGGTTCTTTTAAGATTTATTTTATTTCAAAATTTTGAATTATAATTTGTATAATTTAAATGAATGAAAAAAATTAAATAAAGAAATTTTGTAATGACCCGGAATATCAAGGGTGTATTTAGTTGGGATTTTGAGAGATTTTTTTAGTGGTTTTAAAAATTCTTGAATTTTGATAGAGTTTATTGATTTCTAATTTATATAAAATTTAAATGAATTCTTTCAAATTCTTAGAGGATGATGTGAGATTTGAAGATATTAAAATACATTATGAAATTTCTTCATTCTCTCAAATTTCCTAACTTTTTAGAATCCTTTAAAATTAGTTTTTAATTAAATACACATTTACACTCATGCCGGTGATCCAGAATGTTGATAAAAAAAACTGAAATTCTATAATAAATGTCACATCATTAGTATTTTTTTTTTTCTTGTGAAGATTTTGATTAGTTTTTTATTTAAACTTTTGTTGGGACTTTTTACACCCGACTCAATGGCTTAACACCCAGCCATCGAGCTGGTGGCTTAGTAAGAAATGACGAATTACGAGACCTTTTAAAAACTAAAAACTGGAGATTTGAGTTCGAAATCCTCAGTTGATGTGGAAGCCAAACTTAGGGTTAGGAGGCTGAAATGCTTCTGTCAATCTTCTGGTCGTAGAAAAAAATAGATAACTTATGATTGCCACTAATTGTCTCCCTTAAAAAAAAAAAAAAAAAAATGGCTTCAACATCCAGGACCCATTGGCTTGGAACAGTATCCGGATCCGGCTATTTGAGATTCTTGAAATATTCTGCGATTCATCGCCGCCTCCACTCTTCTCCCACTATATCAATTTCGATCTCTGTACAGTTAATTCCAATTATTCGACTTCTCTCTCTGAATCCATAATAATCCATGGAGAATGATAACGCCAAATTGGGGTCTGCCGGCGGACTCAAATCCGACAACAACAACAGCGTCAGCGAACAAGAACAAAACCCCTTGAGAGAATTCGAAGAAGGAGAAGGAGAAGAAGAAGTAAGCAGTGGGCCTTCGCAGGAAGAGGAGGTGGATCCTCCCTCCTCACCTCCTGTTCCTCAACCTTCAAGAACTCCCTTCAGTAATCTCAGTCAGGTCGATGCTGACCTAGCCCTTGCTCGAACCCTCCAAGAACAGGTATTCAATTCTCTTTGCATATTGATTTGCTTGCAAACAAAGGATTCATGTTCCACTCGTTTTTGCTTCGTTAGCAAATAGAAGTTGGCCTTAGAATGTTATCTGGATACTTGTTTGATACCCACCACAATTTTGTTTCCTCTTTCGTTCACTCAGTGATCAATGGAAGTTCCAGTGCGGATTGATTCCGATCATCAATCTCCATCCGGAGAACAACTTTTGTTTCGGTTTCCGTTATAAATTTTGAGCTTGTTATGTGATATTCTTGTCGGCTCAATTTTTGCTCCTACTATTGGAGGGGGCAAGGTTTCATCCTACGAACTTCGGGTCCGCTCATCCTAAATCTCCATTAGCACCTCCACCCACATCATCCTAAATCGTCTTAATGCGCCTTGCAATCGGCGCCGTAGAGGCTTTGATGTTGATTGCATCATGTGGGGTAGTGAGAGAGTGAGGGGGTTGATCAGGTAGTGAGAGAGGATAAAAACGTATTTTGATGAAGAATTAGGTGGGATTAGAGGAGACGATTGGTCATGGAAATTGGGATTGAATTTGGTTTGCAGGGAATTAATTGGTTCTTAGTGAAACCGTTTTGTTGGTTTCCTTATCTTTTCATTGAAAAGTTTTTTCCTATTTTTTCTGTGAGTTCAGTTGTTTAGATCTACCCAAATAATATTGCAAGGCGGCTTCCTTTTAGTTTGTGTTAGGGTGTTCTTCAGCTCTCTGGAGTGGTTTCTGCTTCTTTCCACTTTTTAATAGATATAGAGGGTAGTGCTATTCAAACACCCCATTTTACCTTCCACACACCCTTGTTAACTTTGTCCATTGATCTTCTTCAATTCATTCGATCTAACAGGCAGAAATTGAGAGGGGCGTGTGAGAGGTAAAAATAGGTGTGTGGTTAGCACCACTCTATAGATATAGTTCAATTGTTTAGCATTCATTATCTCTCAATGATTATATATGCCCTTTCCTCTCTATTCGATCTCATCAAAGGACACACTCACTTCCTTTTGAGTGGAATCAAAGAGTCCAACATTTAGCAAAATTTGTTGCTGAGTGGTTCTATCATTAGCTTTAAACTTTCTTGCAGACTAGTGCCCAAATTCTTTTGTGCATGACACTGTGTTTTGGAGACCCTGCTTTGTTGGGGTTTAATAGTAGGGTTCCTTTGGGACTCCTTATCACATTCCACAAGCAATGCCAAACAGGTCTGTCGTTGGGTTTAGGAGTTTGTGTCTGTGGATAGGTAAGGTGGTGAGTTATGGTGGTGGGTGGGCATGGTGATGTGGTGGCATGAACCTATTGAACAAGCTAGCCTGAACTTAGGGATTGCAGAATTACAAAAAGGTAGTATTAAAATCGTCCCCTTGAACATTAAATTGAACCACATCTTTGAAAATGATGGTCCTCTGTCAATCTTCCTCTTTGTATTCCTTTTAGGTTCTTGCCTAGGGGTTGGGGATGAAAAATCCATGTTTACAATTTCCCTTCTCTTATGTTTTTCCTATTCACAAACAAATATTTGAATGTTGTTTTCCGAGGATTTGACCTTTGCTAATTACTCATCAATTGCCTTCCTTATTGCTTTTGTAATCTTGACTCAAAGCTTCAACTCTCGGTGAAAGTTCTGATTTATAACCATTATAATTGAGTAAACAAAAAGAATTTGGAAGGAAAAGGAGGATATATTGTTCAGGTACCAAATTGATGCAGGACATACAAGGTGAGTGTTGCTTTGAGGCGTGGTGGGCTTTATATGGCAGAAATTTTGTTAATCAAGAGAGGTTTAAAGAAGGAAACAATCTAGGGTTGCTGTAAGTTAGAGCAAGTAGATAGATGGAGAAGAACGTAGAGAGAGAAAGAGAGAGAGAGGCAAAAACAGTTTCCCCAACAAATCCTTAATGGTGATTTATTCAATCTCCTTTTGGCTTACAAAGCCGTATTTATAGGCTTCAAATAGACCTTTCAATGACTTCTAAACATAGCAAAAAGGTCATTAAAACCGCAAAATAGTTAATTAGATATTACACAAATATAAAAAGACTCATCAAATACAAAATACATTAGATATAATTTTGCTAGGAGCCAAATAAATGCTCGCAATAAAGCTTCGTATATGCTCAAAAGGAGAAGCAGCTTATTATCAACTGTTTGATTTTTTTTTTCCTTTTTTTTTTTTCTTGGGTGTGGCAATGGATATCAACTCTTAGATTGGGTGCTTGACTTATTTGCTTATTTTTCTGTTTCGTATTACTCATAGACAATTGTTGACATTTCATTTTACACCAAAAAGGACTTATTGTTAGATTTGGTCGAAGGAAGGATATTTTTCTATCAAGCTATAGCTATTGCATCAGTCAATCTTTATGTGAATGCTGTTCACTGTCAATCTTATCTGTATGTGATTTTGTTTGATCTTGTTGTGCATGCAATCTGATTGCCGTTGTTTGGCTATTGAGTAGGAAAGGGCATACATGATGCTACGGATGAACAATGAAGGCAGTGATTATGGAAGTTGGGAAGCTGGAAGTTTTGTGCATGAGGATGATTTCAATGAATTTGACGACGATACTGATGATAATGATGGTGAGGAACAAGATGATGAAACTGAGGTTGACAATGATGAAGATGCATTTGATGTGCATGCTCATGATGATGCTGGAGAGAATGATAACCCCAGTGTCGAATATGATCCGGCTGTTTTTTCAAGCGATGAGGCCTATGCAAGAGCCCTGCAGGATGCTGAAGATAGAGAGATGGCTAGACTGATGGCACTTGCTGGGATTAATGATCGTGAGTGCTTGTGACTGTTTAGAGTTGTAGTGCTCTTTTTATAATATCACTTTTTCTAAGTCCTTGAAATTATGCAATAGTTGATGTTTCTGCTATGTTATTTTGTTTTCAGGCGAAGTTGAGGACACAGAGGAACATGGTGGTAACTCTCAGGTAATAAATTGTTGCTTGTATGCTGAGAATGAGATTAGTATGAATGAGACTCTTCTAGAAGGCAGTAGCAGTTTGCTGTTCTCTCTGCGTCATGTTTGTCATCTACTTTTGGTTTGTAGGATACATGGGATGAGATTGACCCTGATGAACTTTCATATGAGGTACGGTGGTTCTAAATTCTAATGCTTCCAGTGGTGCATTTACTTTATGGCTTGTTTCCATGACTTTTATATAACTATATCAGGAGTTACTTGCATTGAGTGAAGTTGTTGGAACTGAGAGCAGAGGGCTTTCAGCTGATAATATTGCCTCATTGCCTTCAGTAAGCTACAAGACAGGAAGTAGTCAGAATGGGAGCAATGAGTCGTAAGCACTAGCAAATTCCTTAGTTCTATGTACTTTATAGAGTGTTGTATGTGCTCTTTCTTTTAAAGTTTTTCTTACTTCTGTTTAAGGTGTGTCATTTGTCGGTTGGACTACGAGGATGGTGAAAACTTGACATTACTCTCTTGCAAACATTCCTATCATTCTGAGTGCATAAACAATTGGTTGAAAATTAACAAGGTATGATTTTGAAATTTCATGTTTTCTTTTCCCTTCCAATTCAATGGTGCTTACTCTGTACTATAATCTGTGCATGTAGTTCATAACATCTTCATTCTTTCCAAAGTACGTGTGGCTATGGTTTAAGTTTGTATCATGTTGTACTCACCTTTTTTGGCTGTACTTTGAAAATTTCCGTAATTTGTTTGCTTTTAGTTGAGGCATTGTGATTTCTTATTAGAGTTGTCACGTTGAAATTGTGTTTGCATGTATGCTTGTGGACAGAGAAACAAAAGTAAAAATGACATTCACTTGGTCTGTTACTGCAGGTCTGCCCTGTTTGCAGTGCCGAAGTTTCCACATCTGCAAACAAGTAGCAGAATTTACGGACCATCTTTTGCTTGCAAATCTGAACGACCATTTGCACAAGTCGGTGCACAAGGGATACAGTAGAGCCCGGTCTCCTTCACGGGCGAAAATGTTCTATCCAACCGTTAAGATTAGATTACAATGCTTGTATAATATGGGAGACACTCTGGTGTAAGTTTTCTGGTTTACCCTGATACAAGATGACGGTAAATTAATTTCCCCAGTACTTTTCAATTTGTTGTTGAAATTTGTAAACTCGCAAGTTTTCTGGATTTACACTCATGATAAACTCTGATACTTCTCTTTGCGGGCATGCTTGTCGATTTGTTTGTATGTATGCATGAATGTGTTAAAGGCGGGCAATGTCGATAGTAGTTGCGAGTTGAGTTCATGTCATGTAGCAGGATGTCCTACATATTTTCACACACACACTCCTCGATTTCGTACTTTTTCTTTTATCAAACTCATCTCGTGTTTTCATTATTTTGCTGATTTTGTTGAACACGCAGTATCCTACACTATAAAATATTGAATGCATACCACGTTAAAATTTAATGTTAATGACTTATTTATCCTACTATGCAATGATAATTTTGACCTTATTAGGCTAAAAAAATTAAAAAATTTCTAAATACATTCCAAATCACTTTTAACGTATTATTTATCTTCTTCAACTATCAAAACTGTTGAATGAAACCCTAACCAATGAAACTATAAACATGTTGATTGAGAAAAATTATTTTTGACCAATGAAATACAAAATCGGCATTTCGAAAGCTTCACATGAGGTAAGACTTCATATTTTTCATTGTTTTAGTGATTTAGATGACATCGATAATTATTTTTCATTGTTTTAGTGATTATTTTCAAATCATCAATTTTAAATCATTCTAGAAACTAACAGTTCAGATGGTTTGAAATCATTCGGCAAAATTAAAAATGAGTGTTATAAGAATTGAGAAATGTGGAAATGTAAGGTATATATTGAAAATATGGGGTGTGAGGGTATTATGGGGAAGGAAGTGCGGTGTATTAAGATAATTTTTAATTGAAAAAGTAAATGTGGGGTGTACCAAATATGTGAGGTTTATTCTACAGTCCAAGAGCTTGTTTAGAAGTTGTTTTAAAGTAACTGAAAACATTTTTGTTGAATTTTTTTTTATTTCAAAAGCACTTACATAAAGCACTTAAAAATGTTTTTTTACTTATTATTATTTAAAATTCATTTGAATTTTTACTAAGAATTAATTTAAAAATAATTTCATCAATAACGTTTTTACTCGTTTTAAAAGCTTAAGAAAGATGAGACGTGCCACGTCAACGTCATGTACCCCTAGTAATAACTGGGATGGTGTGGACTCCGGTAGCAGCATTTTCCCTCCCATTGCGGTGGAAGCAAAACACATCCTTTGTTGTTGCAGCAGAATTTTCTTTCCTTCGCATCAGCAGACTCATATTTTGGACATGACAAGTCAAGTGGCATCATCATCATAGCCGTTTGGTTTCGCTGTTTGAGCAAAATAAATGGCATTATTATTGCCAAGAATCTCAAAAACCCATCGAAATCTGTGGAAATCAACGCCGCCGCCCATCATCTTCTCCAAGCAGCTCACAGGCACAGCCTGCTCAAATCACTATGCTAGTGATACTGACACCGACCCTTCTCTCGTCAGCGCTCTCATTTCCATCTTCACCAAGCGACCCTTTTCCCCGGACGACCCGGAGTTGAAGACCCTCGCTCCACGACTCACCACCAAAGCTGTCGAAAGTGTGCTTAATGGCCTCCGGAGTTGGAAAACCGCTCACGTCTTCTTCACCTGGGCACCCAACCAATGCGGCTACACGCACAACTGCTATACTTACAATGCCATGGCGTCTCACCTATCACGTGCTCGACAGAATGCCCCACTCAGAGCTATGGCTATGGAAGTTGTGAGTTCCAACTGTTCTCTCACTCCTGGGGCTCTGGGATTCTTTCTAAGATGTTTAGCCAGCGTAGACTTGGTTCAAGAAGCTAACTTTTTCTTTGATCAAGTCACCGCCAAGGGTCTTTGTGTTCCGAATAGTTATAGCTATAATTGTTTGTTGGAGGCTATATCTAAATCTAAGTCCAACTCAATTGAATTGCTTGAAATGAGATTGCAAGAAATGCGAGATTCTGGTTGGGAATTCAGTAAGCACACGCTGACCCCGGCATTGCAGGTCTATTGCAATGCAGGCAAGTTCGAAAAGGCTTTAAATGTTTTCAACGAAATGTATGAGAGGGGGTGGGTTGATGCCCATGTCATGTCCATCTTGGTGGTGTCTTTTAGCAAGTGGGGCGAGGTGGATAAGGCTTTCGATTTGATTGAAAGAATGGAAGATCACAAGCTTGGATTGAATGAGAAGACATTTCATGTTCTGATTCATGGGTTTGTGAGGCAGTCCAGAGTGGACAAGGCCCTCCAATTGTTTGATAAAATGCGCAAGTCAGGTTTTGCACTCGACATTTCTCTTTATGATGTACTGATTGGAGGACTATGTAAGAATAAAGAGCTCGAAAAAGCCTTGTCTATGTATTCGGAGATGAAGGCGTTGGGAATCCATGCTGATGCTGGGATACTAGCAAAGCTCATACCATCCTTTTCTGATGAAGTGGAAATGATCCGGGTACTTGAGGAAGTCCAAGGAGATTTAGATGAAGAGGATATGCTTTTGCTTTGCACTTCCGTGTTGAATGGTCTTACTAATAATGGCTCCATTGACAAAGCTTATCAACTTCTTCAGGCAATGATGCAATACGAATCTCATTCTGAAGGTGAGGTAGATAAGATCCTTGTAGTTATGAAAAGGGTTCGTCCCATCACAACTAATTTTGAAATTGTTATTGACGGTCTACTCAGGTTTGGTAAGTTTGACATGGCCTTAAGCCTTTACAAAGATATGATTCAGGATCGGCTGTAAACCAAATGTATCAATTTATAACAATTTGATTGATGCACTGTGCAATTCAGATAGATTGGACGAAAGTTATAAGCTTCTGAGAGAGATGGAGCAGTCAGGACTTGAACCAACACATTTTACCCACAACTCTATATTTGGGTGCCTCTGTAGAAGACAGGATGTTGTAGCAGCCCTTAACCTAGTGAAGGAGATGCATGCTTGTGGACATGAACCATGGATAAAATATTCCACCTTGCTTGTGAAGCAGCTGTGCAAAAATGAAAAGGTAGTTGAAGCTTGTAATTTTCTTGATAACATGGTTCACGAAGGTTTTCTCCCTAATATAGTTGCCTATTCTACGGCTATAAACGGATTGGTCAAAATTCAAGAAGTAGATCGAGCTGTGCAGCTGTTCCAGGATATCTGTGCTCATGGCTATTGTCCCGATGTAGTTTCTCATAATATATTGATAAGTGGGCTTTGCAAGGCCAAAAGAGTTTCAGAAGCTGAATCTCTTTTGGATGAGATGGTAATGAAGGGTCTTGTTCCCTCAGTTGTAACCTACAATCTGCTGATTGATGGATGGTGTAAAACTAGTCACGTTGATAAAGCGATACTTTGCCTTTCCAGGATGTTTGGTGAAGACAGAGAGCCAAATGTGATTACCTACACAACATTAATAGACGGGCTGTTCAATGCTGGAAGGGTCGATGATGCTCTTGTGCTTTGGAACAATATGGGAAGGAAAGGATGTGCTCCAAATAGAATTGCTTATATGGCTCTCATTACGGGTCTTTGTAAGTGTGGCAGGCCTGATGAGGCACTGGTTTATCTTCGTGAGATGGAAGAGAAGGAAATGAAACCTGAGATTTTTGTATATGCAGCAGTAGTAAGTGCTCGTCTCTCTGAGCTAAACCTACCCCGACAGTGAAGATATTGGATGTTCTAATTTGTTTCAAATCTGGAGAACTAAGTCATTGCGAAGAGGGAGGCTGATAAATTTCCCCTAGAATGGTTAGTAACTGAAGCTGCAGGTGAGCCGCTGCTGTTCGAACTATATAATGTGGATTAACATTATGGTTACCGTTACATGCTTGTTTTCTAGCCCTGTAGCTGTTTTAATAGATATTGTTTATACTGTATTTTGGAATTTTGATGGTAATTTTATTGGAATTCGGAGGTATGAAAGTTCAACTGCCCTGAGTAATCAGCGACAATGTCTCGAGCTCTAAAACTCCTTTTAACTTGGTAAACTCATCACAGCCTCTGAGCATCGACTGACTTCGACAATGGACTTTCAAATATATTTGAAACTAGTCTAATTTCCAGACAGGAATGATTCCTTGAGCGGCTAAACGCTTTTCAACCCAAAAGACAATATGTTTTGCTGTGATTTTCTTCTCATCAACGAGAAAAGGCTCAACAGTGCTCGCTTCTGAGCCATACGAAGACAGCGAAAACCCCTTTGGACCTGCATGCATACCATATTCTGCTAATCTCAGTTTTCTGTAAATGCATTCGTTGAACTGTGCGCAACCCATCAATCAATAAATTGAAGACTTGACATTGTTGACAATGCAAGGCAAGAGGTACCTGTGAGGACTCCACTGGGAAAGAAGACCCAAAACGAGTAGGTATTGCCCTTCTTTATAAAGGAACCTTCCAGCTGTAGCACGTAGAACACGTCGATTCGAGAACAATTATAAATGAAAATGCTAGGAACGAAGAAATGAAAGTTGAAAGACAATTAGTATATACAGGTAGCTGAGCTGACCCTGTTGTCTTGAAAACAAAGCTCAATATCAGAGAGTTCATCTTGAGTTTGGAGTATTGCTTTCAATGGCGGGATAACGTCCTCCTCCATCATTTGAGGCAACGCCTTCACTGGAGCTTTCGCTGCAACTTTAGGCTTCGCCGGAGCTGCTGCTTTTTGATCAGCTGTTCTAACCTCCTTCGTACTTGTATCAGCAGCAGCAGCATCAGCTAGTACGTAAACGGGGCAAAAAGATGTAATCACAAGGCAATGAATCCCTGCCATACATTGTGAAAATAGAGCAACTCACCGGTGGAAGTGGATGATTCTTGCAAAGCAGACCAGGCAATGTTTCTTTTTCTTTGAGATGCTACCACTTTACTTTTCATCATTTCCTGCTAAACCAGATGAAACATAACATCCTTTTTGTTAGGGTTGGTCTCAAAGTTAAGCATATGATCGACGGGAAATGATTTCTACGCACCATTTTTCGCACATACAAGTTTGGCAAGTTTTTTAAAATGCCTAAGTTTGTTGAATGGTAAAAGACAACCAGAAATAGCAGTGCTCAGTACTCACATGGTTTGAGGTCTTCCTTCGAAAAGGAAGGCGGGCTGATGACTTGGGGAGAGCTGAGAATTCTGCCAAATGCTTTCCATTTGGCTGTCGTCGTCGTCGACATTGAAGAGCATGAAGCTGAACCTGCGGAGGAGATGGTTTGGGCAGAGAAAGAATAGCCAAAGCCATGCTTGCTTGCTTGGTGATCAATTTGGAGCTCAATTCGCCACTGAAACAAAACCATCTTCTCTTCTCTTGGCCTATCATTCAACGAAAGGCTGAGATTGAAGCTCTTCCATTTTCTCTCATCTAGCTCTCTAACGAGTCCCAAATTCTCTTTTGGGCCTTTGGGCCTGGCCCTCATTTCCTTAGCGGCTCGATTCACATTATTTGTTCAACTGAAATAAAAGACGAAACCTTGCGCTTGCGTTTACCCTTTAGTCAACCAAAAAATTGAACCATCCATTTTTAGAATTCAGTAGGCAACAAAATTCTTGTTGTAAGTATGGATGCCATGTTGGTAAAATAGTTTATTTGCATAGATAGAATAGTTTCTTACTTTTGTGCTACATAGTGAATGTAAGTCGGTTATATTTACCTATATAAAGGAACCATGTTGAGACTCCGAATAGAGACCTAAAACAGCCAACTTCAACTTTTCCCTTGTGAGCAACAAAGCGCAAACAACAACAGAAATTTCTTCATACTGTTATAAATAGGCAAAAGTTAGACAGAAAACTTTTGCTAGGGACAGAAACGAAGCGAGTACAAAATATTACACTGTTTAGTTTCGTAACACAAAAGAATTGCAAGTAAAAAGAGGAAGGGAGGGATACTGATATTATTGCTTTCAGTTCTTTTCTTTCGCAGTGTTGTTTGTATTGTGATCGTGCTCTTTATATAGAGCAACACCCGTAACTAACCAAACAGACAAAATGATTACAAATTTGAAAGCACCACACAACAACTATTCCCTATTATTCCCAAATCTCCTTTACTTTACTGTGGCATTCATTCATCCTCACAATTTTACAACACATGCAAGTTTCTTTTACATTTTCTTTACATCTATCTCCCATATCCAAAACAAATAAAGATAGCGAGAAAATGTGATCCATTGATATCGTTCCACTTCAACCCTCAGCAAACCTTCTCTCTCTTTCGCCTATTTATAACAACTGTTATCTATATCAGAAGCGAAAGAAAATTTTGGTTTCAAATTAAAGTAAAAACAAATTCAATTTAATATTGGAGTCCGTCCCTCCCTCCCTCCCCACGGACCTCTCTCTGCACTGTGCGGGCGTCGTTCGGCTCTTTTGATTTGAATCCCAGTTGCCTTTCCTTCCCTGTATTTAGGTTTTCACAACGGCACAATATTTGCTGCATGCCGCGAGCCCCCCACAGGCACTAAGTGTAGTTAAAATCGACGTCATGATTTCGGACAGGACCAGGAGCAAGAGTAGCAGCCGAAGCAAGAAGGATATGGGGAATGCAGTTGTTGTTGTTCCCGATCCAAAAACAACAACTAAAAGAGCAGCACCGGCGTCGCAAAGACAAACCCAGAGGCGACGGCAATCGGCCAAGGAAAAGGAAGTACAAGACATCGAAGATATAGGAGATTTGTTCAGCGAAGAGGAGACCCAGAGAATTAGGAAGTCTCTGCTGGAATGGTACGGCCTCTACCGAAGAGAGCTGCCGTGGAGAGAAGTGGAAGATGGAGAGGACCTTGAGATAAGAGCCTACAGAGTGTGGGTCTCGGAAGTGATGCTGCAACAGACGAGGGTTCAGACTGTTATTCAGTACTACCACCGTTGGCTGCTCAAATGGCCCACCATTCACCACCTCGCCCGGGCTTCTCTTGAGGTCACTTTCTTTCCCATTAACTTCCCGAAAGCTCCAATCTTTTTGCTTCACATTTGAATTTTTGAAATGCCAAAGCAAGAACAAAAGCAATCCAATCTTTTGTTTTGCAGGAGGTGAATGAAATGTGGGCAGGTTTGGGCTACTACCGACGCGCCCGATTTCTTTTAGAGGTGCTTTCTCTTCATTCTTGTTTCAGTCAGCTGTTCTAAACTCCGCTAAAGGCACCACTTGAATCAGTGTTAATTTGTGTGATATGGAAACCTAAGATTATAATCCGCTCAATAAAGCTGTGAGGTGGAACACTTAGGGTTTAAGATTACTTGTGTCCACATTATAGTATGTTGTCAATCCCTCAAGTTACTAGTCTTGTTCCGTTTAATTGAATTTTTCGTCAAGTTTCTTACGCGTTTATGTAGTCAACTCATGTGTACCTACCCTCAGGGTTTAGGGTTTAGGAAGTTGTTTATGCCTTTCTGTAGTCAACTCATGCGTAGCCCCAGGGTTTAGAGTTTAGGGCTTAGGGTTTAGGGTATGGCTGCTACCTTTGTATTGAGGTGTAGCACATGTTTATTCCTGTGTTCTCTCTTTGCATTGGTTTTTATTCACTTATTGTCATGTGAGATTATTAATATGAAAAACAAATAAACGGATTCACTTATTGTCTGTGCAGGATTCCATCTTCATCTTGTATACTCTAGTTTTACAATGAAGGCCTTTGGACCTTTTCTTGTCCTAAAATTTTGTTGTTGTCAATGATCTCATTTGAAAATAATAAATCTCTTCTTATAACAAAGAAGTAACAATAAATTTTGAAATGACAGGCAGTTCTATTTTTTCGTATTTCTATAGAAAACATGCCCTGGTTTCAGTCTCTCTGTTTTTTCTTTTTTTTTTTTGTTCAAATTGTTAGGGAGCTAGAATGATTGTTGCAGAAGGAGTTCAATTTCCTAAAACAGTTTCTCAACTACGAAAAGTTCCGGGAATTGGAGACTATACAGCTGGAGCAATCGCTTCGATCGCATTTAAAGAGGTGAGTAACTTCTCTGCTAGGTTTGAGTCGGACGCAAAAACAAATTTCTTTGATTTTTCTTTAATCAAGAAGGAGCATGTTCTAAGAGTTATCTTTCAGGTGGTTCCTGTGGTTGATGGAAATGTAATAAGGGTGATCGCTAGACTAAGGGCTATTTCTGCCAATCCAAAAGACTCTTTGACTGTCAAGAAATTTTGGTGAGCTCTTTTGTTTATGGAATCACTGCATTGTTCTTTTACAGGATTTGAAATTCCTTTTTAAAGGGTAACAAACTTTTGGACTTTTTAAAATGCTATCACATAGATGTGTAGTAAATGCAGAAAATGATGCCAATGGATCAAATGCTAACTTATCTAATGAGAATGCTATCATCGCTATCTGATTTTAACGTGCGTGTGAAACAGGAAACTAGCAGCTCAGTTAGTTGATCCTTTCCAGCCTGGGGATTTCAATCAGGCCCTCATGGAGCTTGGCGCAACTGTATGTACCCCATTGAGTCCAAGCTGCAGCTCATGTCCTGCATCAGGCCAATGTCGTGCACTGTCAATCTCTAGGCATGATAGTTCAGTGCTGGTTACAGATTATCCAGTTAAGGTGGTAAAGGCCAAACAGAGACGTGATTTTTCTGCTGTATGTGTTGTCGAAATATTAGGAGATGAGGAACCATCAGACAGGCACCAAATCAACAATGGGTTTCTTCTTGTAAAACGACCTGATGAAGGGTTGCTTGCTGGCCTCTGGGAGTTCCCGTCTGTCCTGCTGGCTGGAGAAGCTGACTTGGTCACTAGGAGAGAAGAAATCGACAAATATTTAAATAAACATTTTAGACTTAACCCCTGCGACATAGCTTCAAGGGAATATGTTGGAGAATATGTCCATGTTTTCTCTCACATTCGTCTCAAGATGTACGTGGAATGGTTGGTGTTACATATAAAAGGTTGATCTCCATCTCTTTCTCTTCTCACACTATTAAGTATCAAAAAGTGCTTA